TGTCTCATAATATTCATAGAAGTTTGTTTCATCTATTATCCAACGAGGCAGTAATGTAAATTGTTCGCAAATGTTAGAAAATCTGAATAAACATGTCTAATTTTTATGACATTTAAAGACTTTTAATTCAACAAATATAGAAGACAGCAGTAGTAAATTTTGAACAGTATAAGTGACGTTTACTTTCTGTAGTATACACTATGGCGAGCATATTCTTTTTGTTTCATTTGTCACGTTTATTCGAGAATAGCGAGTCTAGCGGAAGATACGTCAAATTGACACGATATACGATACCCCTTTGCCACTTCTTTTTTCATCTTCGCCGTCAATCCAGAGACACCATGTTGATGCCTCGCCAGTAAACTCAATCAAGAGATTCCACTTGCATTTTTGCGTTGACATGCAGAAGACTATATTCTCTCTCTCTGAGAGTGGCGACTCTTTTTCTTATCTGATACGAACTGATATTTTCGTTGTACAGCCGTCACGGTTCGCTTTTCATTTTGCTTGCTGTGAAATTTTTACGAAATGGAGCAGAGATCCAATCACAAAAACGAACAGTTACTCTGAATGTTATTTTCGACTTAGCCGGATCTCTTGCGATTTCAAACGCTACGAATGTGCTGGAAATCTAGAATACGATTTATCGTAAGCGAAGCCATATTTTCACGAGGGAATAAATCGAATATTACTGCCACAAGGTGTGCGTTGTTACGTTCCAGATTCGTAACTTCGTATAAGAATTATACGACTTAAACAAACTGAAGTACTCTATCGCGCGTAGATTGCGAATTGCGAGAACTTTCATACTGCGCTATGTCGAGCGGACTGTAATAATTAGAGAAGGAAACGGAACTCTCTCTCTCTCTCTCTCTCTCTCTCTCTCATCAATATATTTAAGTATTTCATGCTATTATACAAAGATTAGAATTAAAACAAATTAAGAAAAACTTAATTCAACATCTCTGCCAGTATAATGCAGACTTAGAATATATTATATTAAAGAAATTAATTGAATGTTTTAAATAATTCAATGTTATAAATACTACATTTCCTAAATTTCATATTCTATATTCTAAATTGAAGTCACAATTGTATCAAGTTACGTGTATAAAACACGTGATAGCGGACGTGTTAATCATTCTCGCAGCATAAAGATAATTTATAATCATACGATCAAACTGAAATCAGATAAATTGAAATTGAAAACTAATAAGACTTTGCTCGTGGCAAACTATCATCGTTAACTGTCAATATTACGTCGCGATCGATGAATTACTTTGCATCTACCAAAACATCCGGCGCGCGTATGGTAAATGGAGGATTACGTCGCGATATTTCCTAGCAGTTACACGTACAGGCACGTGATACCCGTACGGGCGCACGAGAAGTCTGAATATAATCACTATCCATAAATCATTCGATTCCCAGATCCCCGGCGGGAAGACGGAGCGAAACAGCTCTCTGCTCGCGCGCGAGAAAATCGAGACTCGCCTCAGTACTCGATCCTCCCCATAGACTCGTCTCACCTTGTCGCAGCTCGATTCTCCCTTATCTCCGCCGGAGACATTTCTACGACATTAAGCAGGGGTATCGACACACCGCGACGCGCGCGGCGTCGCGCGTGAGATACGACCGGATATCCGGCCGATCCCACAGCGGTATCCCTTGTATTCCTTCCCCCTATAGTGTTCCTCGCAGAGGCTCTCGTTCGGGGCGGTTGTCTGCAAACTTTGATTACATCTGCCAGCAGCCTATCCTCCCTCCCGTCTTCTACGTGTCTTCTCATCCCACCGCAACTCAAATATAGACACGCACCACCAACACCTTATTCTTGGACGCTGTCTACCAAGCCCGTCACACTTTGACTTGCCCCCCTTCTATTTCTCGAGATTCTCACCATCGTCCGTCCCATTCAGATTTACCACCGTCAAACACTCTTCCTGCCATCTCTTCCGCTCCCTCCTTCGCGAAAACCCATGGAAACGTATTTAGCGAATGTCCCGGTTGGCGACGCGAACTGTAATTTCGTTAGCTGCTATACGTGAGTTGCCTGGCGAAAGTGCAAGATGAAAATTGCGCCTTCTAGGATGCTATTGGACTTCTGATGCTCGAATCAAATCAATGATGAGATTTATCATTTGAATTGTAAAAACGCATCGATATTCAGTCATCGTTGCAATTGTATACCTATCAGGATGTCGGACTTATTTAATTACTTTCTTAAATCATAATTATACATGTCCCATTTTCGTTTGATCGAGCTCTACATTGAGAGAAAATTCTTGTTGAAAATGAACAAATCAGAAAAAATTCTGATCATATCAATCAGAATTGTAATTATTTCACACACAACTCTATATGATAATATATAATTATAATAGATTCAACCAGAAAATTTTTTTTTATTTGCACCTTTTAAACCAGAATTTCAATTAAACCAGATTCTTTTTCCAGTGTGTAACGAATGTTATTCTCACTATTATTTAGGAATTCGAGACGATAATTTATCTTTATTTAATGATACAGAATTCATTTTATATTGATGACACCTAATTTACCACACGTGTCGCTTAGTAACCTTTATGCCGTAATGTATTGCTATGCAATCCTACTTCATTTAGCAATTTGAAACTGCATCAATTTATCGTTGTATTTCAAATGGATTTTCGATGCTCGAGCTCAAAGGTTTTTTAATTAGACTATTAAACTCAAATTACATAAATGCTATAATTTTAAATGACTATCGCTGTTCGTGTGTACATTGCGTGAAAGAGAAAGACGGTTGTTTTACTTTACCTGAAGAAAGAGAACTTAAATTAGTATCGACTTTAAGTGACAGCTGGCAAATATTCCTCGTTGGAAGCTTTGTCGATATAACAACGCGGATATTTACAGAATAAACACGATGAGCATATTGCGAAATTTTGTCTCATTACAACGACGAATCGAAATTATCGCTTCAAGCGACCGATCCTTTGCGTCAGATACTTCTTCATTCAGGTCGCTGAGCAAAGGTTCTCCATATATACAAGACTACCCGAACGATTGCCGTTATTACTTTCCGAGAAGACTCCGCGCTATTTTAATTGAGCGGAACACCACATAAGACGGAGTCTTCGCGAAAGGCTGCATTAACGTTCCTAGAAGCGCAAATCCGTCGTGCAAACGGCACACGCCAAGTTCCTGTCTTATTCTACGAGTTGGCGGTTGGTTCATAAACCAACGATATTTCGCCATAGAGGATGTCGTCGACGACTTTGAATGATAGCGATATAATTATGAAGAAAAGATGCGACGCGGTTTAAACTTCTGTTGCTTTCGATCGCCATAGAAGATGATAAAACGAGCTCACATTATGACAAGAAATAGTTTTAAAAAGGGCAACATAAACTAATTTATTTTATAAATTAAAGCAATTTATAATGAATATTGTAAAAATATGGTTTTAATCATTTATCTCTATATAATATAAAAACGGAAGCTAAATTATTACAATGCTATTCTAGCGATGACATTGTTTGTTCATCATAATGATGTTCGTCCTTCGACAAAAAACCATGGGAAGTAGTGACAACGATAACAGGAAAAGTGACATCGTTCGTTAGGTAGCTCCTAAAGCTCTCGTTAGGCGCTGGGTAGCCGTCACCGTTTTATCCCGTCGAGAATTAATCGAATCGGCGATAAAGTGGATTATGCGTCGAGGTTCGATGGGCCTCGATTCCATAATGCGATTGGCCATGCTCCTCCCGTGGGAGGTATTTTCAGCTTCCTTCAAGTATAATGATTCGTAATTAGATATTACCTGCAACGTATTAAGGAGGGCGCTTAATATCTTAATAGAGTTAGCGGGAAGTATTCATAGTCATTACCGTGGGGTAGTATAATTAACTAGCTCGCAACCGACTCAGCGGAAGTGATTTTTCTACTTTCAGCAAACTTTTTTCTTCAAATACCTTTGCAAACATTTTTCAAATTGTCGTTGCTATCGCATTGTTTAACAAATATTCATTTACAAATATAATTAAAATTAATTTATTTAACAAAAATGTGTTTATTAAAATAAAGATAGAATGTTTCATGTCATATAAGATTCAAATGAAATAGAACAATTGTATGATCAGAGGATGTATAGAATAATATGATTTTTTGTAACATTGTTTGTCCATAAAAATAGAAGTTTACGGGCGACAAATGATTTAAAAAAGAATCACGATTTTATCGAGTGTCCATATACAAGCATTAAATCCCATGTGAATTCCGGAAATGTAACTCCGTCATTTTGTCGTCGGCGGAGAATTACACGTCAGTAGACGAAAACGAGGGAATAATTTACGCCAGTTGTCGAGCCAGAAAGGAGAAATCCGCGTTGAGAGGAGAAAGCGCTCGTAGGCTGACTTTGTTACTCGCTCTTACCCCGAGCTTTTTGTCAGGTAAAAAGTTTCCACGGGAAAAGGAACCAATTTAATAAGGCCTTAATAACTTCCCCGAGGGAGGTAGACGCTTGGCGTACGGCTGTGTTTGACGGCTACTTCACAGTCTTCTCCTTTTTCGACATCAAGAGTAAATTCACGCTTCCTCGTAACGGAGTGGTATAACCCTTTATTGGCAGAACGGCGATACCGCGTTCGTCATCCTCACTCCTCGCGTACGATTGTTCAGCTTTTATTCCGCGTCAAAGATGGGTAACGACTAACATTCTCTGAATCGACAGAATTGTATACCAACGAATCTTTGACATGAAATTACATTACATTAGAAACAACATTTTTGTAAGTGCACTTATACGTAATATAATTATATGTGAAATAACGTGTATATTCTAGTTAGATTATTATCTAATCTAATTTATCAATGAATGAACGTGCGTACTTTTTCGAGTTACTAATTTATATTTTATTTGTTAAGAACCGAAATATTAACATCTATTTTGTTCTTCTTGTTGCAGTGATCTCCAAGGAAATAATATATCGGTGATATTCAAGACCGATTTTGAAGACATGGCAACGCTCCATGTTTTGTAAGTAGAAATATTCTTCATTTTCTCAGTTAAAAATTACCACTAAAAGTATCATTATTTCTTACTCTGCACTAAAAGAATCAAGAAGCGAATAAATATATGAACTAAAGAAAGTGATGAAAAATCGAATATTTCATTAGTGTAAAATACATAATTATTGAAGAGTCAAAATCAGAATCACTCTTTACATTAGATGTATAATATAATATTAATTTAACAAATAAAAATTATTAACAATGATCAATAGTTTTAGTTAGTCGTAAATAACAAGTACATTCTATTAGGTTGCATTCATTTTTATATCTCTCCTTGATTGCATTTAAAATAACAACAATATATAGAATATGTATAATTAAAAGTTTCAACTTTATCAACAAAAGTTTCAAAATTATGAAATAGTCACATATCGTCAAATTTATGTCATTATTATTTTAATATTAAGTTCTATGTTAGACAATATATAGAATTGTTTGCGTTGATTATTATAATATATTACAATAATTCTTTTTTTAATGTTACGAGTATTATATTATTAACGGAAGTATTGTTAATTTACAGATTACTATCAAACAATCAAATACATACCATCGAAAGAGGGGCTTTCCAAGATCTGGTGGCGGTGGAGAAGCTACGGCTAAACAACAATCAGATACGTCATCTGCCCGATCTTCTCTTCAGCAACATGATGAATTTAAAACGCCTGTGAGTACGCCTGCGAGAATATTAACATTGCTATTTTCAAATTGATCGGAGATACAACGCGTAATTTCTAAATAGATTTGTCGACAATCAGACTTCATTTACGCAACGTTACGGATAAATATCTACCGGCATTCATGACTGTTCGCGTTATGTATTAGTGTCTCACTAACAGGTTTGACGGGCATAATTGCGGTGATATTGCGAATTTGAATTATTTCATCGCTGTGTAGCGCGAGATATCGACGAGCGTAAGAACAGAATTCGTTAAGAGCCCGCGAGCGTATTGTGCCGCGGGATTTATGCGTTCTGTCAGCGGTCTACGGTATACATAAACGCGCGCGGGTAAATGGCGCAGCGGTATTGCGAGATACGGAGAGAGCGATGTTGCAACGATGTCTACACAACGTCATGAAAGTTTGCAATATCGTAGAAACATCCGTACCGGTATTTCTTGGTGGAGCGAGAATCTCGGGAGAATAATTATATACACGTGAGATCAGTCCGAATGTCAGCTTCCGCAGACGCGCATAATACGCACGTGCGTTACGACCTCCGCATTCGTCCCCCCCTCTCTCTCTCTCTCTCTCTCTCTCTCTCTCTATCTCTCTCTTTCTCTTTCACTCGCTCTCTCTTCCTCATATCATTGTGTCAAGCGCGACGACGAGGGGAGAGGGTTTATATCGTATAAACTTTTCAGACGACGGCCTACATATCTCTACCGTATGTACGTATGTATTGCCAGGGGTTGTTGAGGGGGCGGGTAAACTAGGGGCTTGTGCAACCTGCCACGCGAGACTCCTCGATCGAATGTACGCGCCGCTGCATACGCGACTTTTCACCCCGGGCTTTAGCGTCTTAAAGGCGATCGTTCGATATGCAACGTTCCCGATGCCCACCACAACGGTGATTGCACCGCAACGACGCTTTCAGCTTACACTCGCCTCTGTGTGCACGCGACTACGCCAAAGTGTTTCCTATCTTACGTGACCAACTGCTTGAGTACGCGCTTATCGCTGGCCGACTGTCTTATTAGCGAGACCTGATTTAGTAACGGTGAAGGTGAAACGAATAAGGCGGGGATTGTAGGATTTTAGACATTTGCCAGGCACAGAGATCGATGAAGTCATTACTTAGAAATGATAAAATCAGGGCTTCGCGTTGTACATGAATCTTGAATAAAACTTGGTGAATCAAAACCAGTCACGTGCATCGATATATATATTCGCGAATGCTAAAAATAAATATCGGATTCTTTAATGATTCTTTCCAAGAAATAATTATATGAATAAAATGCTCAAAGAAGTTCCTACGATTTTTTATTTGTGATCACTAACCGGTTTTACTCGTTACAATTTATCGAAGTTATATTTCTGAGTATAGAGTACTTCTGGCTGCGTGATCTCAGAAAGCGATAGTATCGAAAGAACACGTAGCCCCGGCCGTCGCGGACCGTTCTGTATACACAAATTATGCTCATCCATAAGCTATCCGTCGAGAAGGAGCCGACCTCTTCTCAGCGACATGACTGGTTTTCTCAGTATCCCGACATACGCTTCGCCTCTCGCTAACGAGAAGAGCCACCTTGATGTCATAAGAAATTCCGATCCAGTGATTACGCCGTCCCGAGACTCGTCCATCCGTTCGCTTGTTGCTTTTCCACCGAACGTGCGCCATAAGATTCTTTTCGATCCGGAATCTCAATCAAACGCGATACGACGCGCGGATACCACGGTTGCAGAGAAAAAACAAAATAGAGACAGGCCAGCCTGACGAGCGGCGATATCGTGGCCTTTATCGCGATCGAGTGGGCACGGACCGTTTCCGTTCGAAAGTTCCCGGTGTTCCCGGCAGCTGCCAGCCCCGCGCGGTCGAAAAGTGCGCGAGCCTCCTCCTCGCATTGTGGATGACAGGGTGGCGGGGACCAGAAGGAGAGATCCGTGGCAGAAAAAGAGAGACAAGAGAAGCGGCGGAGAGCAAAAAAGAAAAGAGCGGGGTAAAAGAAAAAAAAAAGGAGAAAGCAGAGAAGGAGGAGGAGATCGTCCATCTATCATCCTGCAAAGTGGGCAAGATGGACGGGACTCGAAACTTCCCGTCTCCCGAAGCACCCGCTCGGCCTACAGTTTCTGACGATAAGGCTGGATCAGCCACCTTACAAAGGGACGTATTATGTTGCGACCTTACGGCGAGATTCTCACGGGCGTTCGGATGCGCGATAATCCTTCATCCGGCGTGGATAAACCAGCGTTAAAATCGTAAAATAGAAGATGCTAATTCGCGCGCGCTGCAACGACCGCTTTCTCTACTTCGAAAACTCTCCGGAAACTGCTAATTCCAGCGGCGCAGCTTATTCTGCAGTTCCCTCCGAAGATGTTTCTCTTTAATTTATATATTAAATCAGACCCCGCTTTATAAAACCTTCCATCTTCTCTTTTTACTAAGATATGCCAGATGTCGGATTCTCTTCTTTGTTCAAATGAGCCAACGAGATAGAACAAAAAAAAAGGCGTTATAACTGAAAATTATTTTATAGTAACTTTTCCTCTACACAACACTGCGATACCTAATTTTCTCTTTTTCATAAAATTATAGTAATACAGTAATATTTTGCACAAAATATATATACCGTATATCTTTCCTAGCATGTATAATTAAGCGAATCGCCAAACAAGGGTGATTCAGAAAGTTACCGCCAATACGGGGATCGTGGGCTTGATAATTGAACGATAAATGGACGAGCGATTAATCAGGCTCTCCTTAACGCGCAGCCTAAAGTTACATGGACTTAATTATGTGCTCGTCTCGTAAATTCGACGCGCAGACACGCCGGGGTGTGGGTAGGTCGCGGCGAACGTAACGTATGATTAACTCGTCGCGCAAACGTAGAAAGGTACGGTATATTCCGCGCGCGGTAAGAGGATGAAACCTCTCTACGTGGTAATAAATGGTTTGACACAATGGAAAGGGGCGCGGACACTTCGTTGATTAGTATCACTCCGCTGTGCGGCCGTATTGCGGCGCTTGTAACGCGATACATCGGACATAGCAACGTGCAAGCTGGGTATTTTACGACGCTCCAGCATTTGTCCGCTCTGTACGCTTAAGCTGATAATAACCAGGACAAACGTCCGCCGAACCGAACCCGCGTGCGATGGCGCGAATGATTTAGGGAGACAAAATTCGAGAACCGCACGAGGTTGGCCAGGGTGATTTTCGGACGTCGACAAATTATAGGCCCGTCATACAAGGAGCCGCGCGGCGCAATCTCGGTTTATCGCTCGAGAGAGCGCGGCTGTAATAATTATCGTGCAGTTGTTATCGTGTATCCCCGACGATCGTAATACGCTGTATTATACAGCTTTCATGGCTCTTGCAGTAAATTCCTCTCAGCCTCGACGTTATGGTGTTATTACATCACGTGCAACCTGGAATGTAAAATCACGTTAATAATATTGTTTAACGGTTTTCGTTATACATTCATCAAGTATATGTGATTATATATTTGTCGCTCTTGACGGCGCGGTTTGACGTCTTTATTTTTTTGTGATTAAGGGAAAAACTAGTTTTTAACCAATTTTACAAACGTACAGAAGTAGTTACACGAGAGAGAGAATGTCTACTCGAGAACGCGCCAAGTTTTCAGACAGCCGCAGTTTTCCAACTCATGTCGCAAGTATGCTAAGCGGAAAATACCAGGAATCCCAGCGTAGGGCGTCGTTGTAGAAGCTATTAAAACCAGTTTGCCACATACGCAAAGAGCGTTGTTACGAATGTTTCCTGCGTACTATCCTGAGCATGTTATGTCCGAAGAATGCGCGGGCGTCCTCCAGAGATTGCAATCCTCAGCGTCGCTGTGGACTTCTTTCTCTCTCTCTCTCTCTGAAGTTTCACGATTCCTTACATCCCGCACCGGGATGGAAAAGATCGTAAGGAACGAGGGTTCCTAAACAGAAGCGGATGATACGTGCGATACGTGGGATCTCGTTTTGTCCCGTTCTCTTATCGCGGTAACACAGTTAATGGCACCGGCAACATTTAGAATTGTTCGCGAGAGGCGAGGACCACTGGGTCCTTTTGTTAGTTTCGCGCGGGCGCGGTCACATCGAAATTCGGTAATTGCTTTCTGGGTTAGATGGAGTGATCTGAGAGAGAGGTTTCCCAGGTCTCTCCACTTATCCTCGATTCGAAAGCACATAATGCGAACGCCCGATATGCTCGTTTTCTCTGTTGATTATATTGTCGCAGCTCATTATCGTGTTCTATTCTCCGAGCTCAACCAGCTTGTCGACTTTGATGATGCAACATCATGCATTGTGAATCAATTTTGAATTTCTCATCCTTGTAAATTGGAAATGTACGATGACAGAAATGTGTTTGGTATTTGTGCCTATAAGTGTATGGTAAAATAATTATGATATAGGATTGTTAATAGCTCTATTTTTATGATTAATCTTGTATGTCGTTTTCTTTTAAACATGAAATAATTACTATAAATTATATGATAATTTCAAATATTAATATAGTAAAATATATAGTAAATAATAAATGATAAATAAAACAAATATTTTTATTAAAAATATAAATGCAGTAACAATTATTAATAGTGAACCATTTTTTAAAATTTACTTTCTATTTATATGATATTATTATTTCTATATTGTATTATACAATTAATTACAGTCACAAGAATTAATTTATGTTTAATTAAATTTTTAAGCGAACTTTTTCTACTTATTTTTATTTGATTATATTATAATAGAGATTCATTGATATCTTCTTAATCAATCACTTGAGATCTAATAAATGATATTTCGAAACAGGCTTTAGCATGTTCCTTTTGTCGAATCAACGTAGGCACTTGGAAATTCGGAAATTGCTTTTTACGATTGGATCGGACGCAGTGGGAATTTAATATCTCAAATTTCCCTGTATGTGATGAAAGTACTCAATTTCAGCTTACCCAATCCCATGCTTTCTACGTGCACTTCTCCGTTCGCGTATTCTTCCAATTTATTAAATTTATAGGGTGAAATAAATCTAATTTATTAACAGATGTACTTGTGAAATAATTTTTAAGAATTTTGCGACAAGTAATAAATAGATATAGCGTCAAGAATAAAGTTTTTGTTCGACTAATCGATAGTTATAAAACAGTTTTTTAATTTGTTTCATAGTTCTGCGAAAATACTCTAGAGAGATGAACTTTTATTGCGCGGCGTGTGACAAACGTTTATTCGATGGCACGATCAAACTCTACGGGGACAATAATATTTCGCGCCGACCAACTTGAACGCGAATGACGCGAGTTCCCTTTGTGCGTTCGGTGCAGACGTGGCCGCGCGTCGAAATTCGGTAATTACTTTCTGGATTGGCTCGAGCGAACTGGGAGTTCAATCTCCCAGTCTCGCACTCTCACCTTACATCCCTCGTTGTCTTTCTCTCTTTCTCCTCTATCTCGTTCTCCGCTTCGCGTTTTTGTTGTTCTTCTCTCGCTCACCACACGACTCCCCTCGCATTCTCTCGCGAACATAATTACAGATTGCGAGTTCCAAGCCAATGGATAGTCAATGGCGAGCCGTACTCCGAGACCCCAACCTATCATCACAAGCCTTTGGTTAACTCAGACCTCGAGAAGAGGTTTCGAGGTTCCATGGTATCCGCACGCTTTTCGAGGGGCTCCAACCGCGCCATTTGTCTAACCCTCGATCGTTCCAAGGTGTCTTTCCATATCAATGGGAGATGATTCAATTATTTGCTAACTCTCATTCGTTATTTCATTAGCGTATTTAATCATATAGCATATAGTACTTTCTCACGCGCAAACAGGATAGATTGAATGATATATAGTATGTTATTATTTTGATAATAACATACTATATAAGATGTCATTTGATGTAATTTTAAAATATTATTTAATTAGATATGTATATCAAAAAAATATTAAAATGTTAATATCTTGAAAAAAAGAACCAGTAAAGTAATATATACAATAAATTTTTAGACGTAGTTTGTCACGGGTCGATTCTGTGATGTAACTCGAAACAAACTGCGAACTTGAAGTATTCCGACTACAAAGTACGTTAAGATAATTCGTAAAGCAGTCGGCTGTTGCGTGAGACCGTGGAAATGATCACTCGTTACGTGAATAACGATTCCGACCACGACGAGGAGTAGGTACTTGCGAAGTCTATGACCACTCACGTGACGGTCTGGTGTACACGTGTGACCGGTCACACGCACAAGCGGCAACTTTCTGGAGGATAATCGTGCACGTCGAAGAGGTACTTGCCACGGCATTCGACGCTCTTGAATAATTGATCGAAAATGTAGGACGAACTCGCGACTACAGCCGCAATAAAGTGGAACGAGCGGGTGTTGCACCGGTGATGGTGGACGTGGTCATCCGCCTTTGAGAGCGTAAAAGCTGAGAGGTCAATGGACAGTCGCGAATTAACGCGACTCTGGCGAACGTGATGCCGATGGGTTCTGATAGTTTCCGAATATATACGATTGCAACAATTGCATATGTGGAAAATTGAGGCAGAACACTATCGATTCCGAATACGATTGGGAAGTTTAATTTGATTCGCTTCGAATTGGAGTCATTGGAAAATTTTATTTGATTCATTTTTTAATTGAACTCATAAATATCACATCACTAACTAATATATTTTTCGAAATAATTTAGAAGGGCTACGAGCCAAAACAATGTCATTTAATCTTAAGTAAAATATATACATATAAAAATAAAGATATAAAAATTAAAGTAGAGTAGAAAAATAGAGAAGGAAGGAAGGAGAATTATGAGGGTGAAAGGGATTGTATAATTTGTAGATATGATTCTAGTAAAGATTCAGTGTTTGTTTAAACTCTGTTTCTGTCTTTTTATTTCTGATATGAGTCGTTTGTTGTATAGGAGAGTTCATTGTCAAGAATTTTAACGTCATTCCAATTAAAATTATGATTTGAATCAATGCGGTGGTCAGATGTGATGGAGAGCCTGTTTTTTTCTTTATATCAGAAATGTGTTCTTATAACCTATAAGTTTTTAATTTTCTTTTTGTTTGTCTCACATAGCTGGCATCGCAATCCTCACATGAGATCTTGTAAACTACATTTCGATTAGACAACATTATATTAATTTTTCACACAATAATTACGATGTTAAAAATAAATGACTATTTGACAAATAATCAGACATTTTAAAATAAATATTATATTCTGTTTTACAGAGATCTTAGCCACAATCAGATCGCCACTATAGGACCGAAGACTCTCAGAGGAGTGTCCGCTCTCAGACATTTGTAAGTATCTTATCGGATATGCTTGCCACAAAGATAGATTGTTCCGTAACAATCTCTCTCGAGACCATTTAGTCACAGTCTAGTAGCTCATTATAAACTATACTCAAGATGTTTTACATATGACAACTCTACTCGCATTACAGATAAAGCTCTGATAAAATTTCAGATAAAACTCACGGGTTGAGTTAGTATTTCAAATCTACTGTATTATAACTATCTTATATTTTTCTATGTCACTTATCAGTTTAAGTAGTAAAATATTATGTGGTCAGACAACTCTAATATTCAAAGCGTAATATAATATATGTATTTTTCTGAAATGCACGATTTATCTCTCTCTCTCTCTCTCTCTCTCACACACAAACACACATTATTTTATTTATGTAAGAAGTTTAAAGAAATTAAATATTTGATTAAAATTCTGCTTTTTCTTCCTTATAGACTACTTGACAATAACGTATTGACCTGTGTGGATGAGGCTTCTATACGAGAATTGAAAGATTTGGAAATATTGTAAGTACACGAATTCGTGAAGATTATATATTCAAATTACATGCTTTACATCAAAATTATTTCATATTCGGCGAAAATATAAATTTGTCAAATCAATTATTCATTTTAGAATGCTGAATAATAATAAACTTATAACGCTCGGCAAGGAGATGTTGAACGGCTTGTCGCATTTGCGAACTTTGAAGCTTGCGGATAACGCGTTCGCTTGCGATTGCCATTTAGCATGGTTATCGCGTCATTTGAAGACTTATCCTCGCCTAGGGCAACATACACGATGCGCATCTCCGGCTCATCTCAAGGATCGCAATCTCGCCGATGTGCAGGTGAGTCTGACTAGAGTTATGTTACCATCTATTGAATTCCAGTTCGCAAAACCCACAAAGTTTATTTCTCGTCAGAATTTATGTAGCCGTTTACAATAAAATACATAAATATATTAAGTTTTATTTATTGTAAATACAATATATGTATGTTATAAATATTCTATTAAATTACATTATATGTACATATTATAAATTAGTAGTCAGGATCTTCTAATACATGGAGGAAAATGATTGAGTAATTTTTATTTTACAAGATTAAACTTTACAAGATGAAAATATTGTGCTTATTTTTGCCGAATTTGACAACAAACTTTACTTGCCTAAAAGTAAAAATATCAGAGAGATGTAAAAGTATAAAAAGTACATTACAATTATAGCAAATAAATCCATTTAAGTGATTATTATCTTATAGTAAAGTAAAATATATTAAAATATTGTAAGAATAACTCAAAATTTATTTTACGAAGTGTAAAAAATATCTTATGATTGTACGATCACTCTAAGATTTACCAGAAAAGTAAAATAAATTTCACATAAGTAGGCACCTGTTTCAGTATGTTGGAGACCTGCTAATTCCAATTTACTAGAATTCTAGTTTACTTCACATTTTTCTTCGTGTAGAATATAATATTATTTCAATTGTTGACCAAACGTTGTATGAGAAAAAAAAAGAACATTTCTGTGATCGTTAAGTTTATCGATATCGTTTCTCGTTAACCCACTTCGTGCCTAATACGACTTCTACACCCATTGTTTGCAGGAGCACGAGTTCAAGTGTTCGGGCCTGGTCGAGCGAACGGGATCGGAATGCAGCGCTGAGCCCCAATGCCCGCATCCTTGTAAATGCGCTGATGGGATCGTCGATTGCAGAGAGAACTCCTTGACGAAAGTGCCAACCCACCTTCCCGAGGACACCACTGAGTTGTAAGTAAAACCGTCGCACCATGTTCGCGTATTGTGTATCTGTTCTTCATCTGAGATTTATTTCTCGTTTACACACTCACGCGTATTATATATCTATAGGTATTATCGATAGGTAATGCGAATTAAGTTGTATGTTGTTCTCTCAAGTATATACTTTATGTTTTCTCTTATATTGTATTTGGTACTTGTAGTTGTTGTACAACAAATTAATGTCACTGTTTATATATTTTTTAATTTAAATTTATTTTATTACTAATTTTCCTAATTCTATATAAAGCCGAAATTTCGTAAAATTTGTTAAGATTAATATTATATGTAGGTACTACAATACGTGAAACGCAGGATAATATATTTATTTGCGTGGAAAATGGCGAAAGAGAATAGTGAAACACGCGAATAGTACAATACAGACGAGTAGAAAGCGATCGATAGTCTCACAGCTTTACAAAACGGTTACTAGCATAATTGTGCAGATTCGCTTAACTTATTTGTATAATTTGTTTTTCTATAATTGCTTGCAGGCGGCTGGAACAGAACGGCATTACGGAAATTCCACCAAAGGCTTTCTCGCCATATAGAAAATTGCGAAGAATGTGAGTGATGTTCGTGACTGACTTACTTTAGTACATACGTATATACAGATCGCTTTTGCGCACGTCGACCGCAACGTTTAATACTTTTATATGTTTCCGGTTTTTCGCCCGCAGTGACCTGAGCAACAACCAGATAAAAAAGGTAGCAGCTGATGCTTTCCACGGATTGAAGTCCCTCGAATCGCTGTATGTATCTTTTTCTGGTTCTCCGATACATTTTAAATAACATTCTATTCTATTTTAAATTCTATTTTATTCGACCACAATGATAAAAATATATTTGGTTGCAGGGTTCTGTATGGCAATAAAATTACTGAACTACCAGCTGGTCTTTTCCAAGGCCTTACAAATCTACAATTATTGTGAGTAGATAAAAAAAAGAGGAAAATGAAGTATAAATTTAATAAATAAGATTTAAAACTAAAAACAAATAATTGTACGGATATCAGTTTTATTAAAGTTGATAAATTGGAATAGATATAGTTTTTCTATAATATACTGCACGATGCAAGGTCGACTTTAAGAAGGCGAGAATTAATAATTCATATTAGAACCACTAAAGAAAATGTTTTTATTCATGGTTTCACGTATTGTTCTCGCTTTCCCGTGAAGCATTGCAACGAGGCAACTGTTGGAAATTATGGCGAAACTTATTGTTTCAGGTTACTGAATGCCAATGAGATATCATGCATACGAACAGACCTGTTCAAAGACTTAACCAGTCTCACCTTGCTGTCTTTGTACGACAACAATATACGTTCGTTAGCTAACGGGACTTTTGCCAATCTGCGGAGCATTAAAACACTGTTTGTATTAACATAAAAATACAAAAGTTTTCTTACAGTCATTGCCTGATTTGGGCGAAACATTTTTTGTTATTAAAATAATTAACGAAGAAAGATATTTTCGTACTACGTTTTAAAGAATCTTCAGCGTGTAATTCTTTTTTTCACAGACATTTGGCGAGGAATCCGTTCATCTGCGATTGCAATCTACGCTGGCTGAGCGCGTATCTTCACGCGCATCCTATAGAGACATCCGGCGCTAAATGCGAAACGCCAAAAAGAGCGCAGAAACGGAAGATCGATTCGATGCGGGACGACAAGTTCAAATGTAAGGGTAAGCACAATTCGACTTTCCGGTATATCTCTTCTTAACACTTCGGCAGAATAATATACAGGTCGGTAGTCTATGTGGAGGAAGATATATTGCACGATGAATGTAAATAGGTCCCTATTATATTCGTTGACTTACATTTACATTTCACATCTTCAAATCTTCATATTATCATATATGTAATTACATTCATATTCATATCTGTATGAGATCATCATTTACCCTTGCATACAATTTCGATAAATAACATTTTATCATCTATCTTACATTAGCTTTTAAATGCTAACAATTGAAAGTAGCACTTACCTTAACATATGGAAAGTAAGAGAAAGCGAATAAGCAGAATGGAAATCGGATTATATATTACCATTTATAAATTAATATTCGTTCTTTCGCTAAGAAAGGATATATCGAAAGCCGATGCCAAGCTATTGAATTGATCAATTGTGTCACTCTATTATCAATCACATGTGATGGCGCGTACGTGCCACATACGAACAACCGATCCACGGTTTCCATTTTCACTTGTGTGAAATCACCCACTATCGTTCCTGTTGCTTCCAATGCTTCTTGCATCACATATCCAGACACGTACGTCTCCTCCTTTCTCTCTGTCTCGATTCTTCTTCGTTCTTGTCGACACGTCCGGAACAGGTGACCAGACGATCTATACAAGTGCTCTCGCACGGTAGGATAAATGCTGGTCACTTTGTCGGACGTATGTAATTGCCGATAGATGTATCATGCTAACCGTAATACCGCCCGGTGTGCATTAATGTCAGCTGATGTTATGTACATTCGCAAAGACGCTTGCAAACTCGTTCATGCTTGCCTAATGATAATCATTTAGCAAAACGAAGCTGCATACAGATAATTTACGTAGATAAAGATCGTGCCTTAAGAGGATGTATTTTTTTTAATTTTATTTTTTCGTCGGGGTGTACGAAGTTCTTCTTTAAACTATTCACGGAAGAAGATCGTAAAAAAATATTTGAGTATATCATACCGTTAAGATATTGGATAAAGACAAAGAAACCATGATTTATTCAGAATTTTATAATAAAAATATATTGTTGTTTTGATATAACTTTTTAAATTTTAGAAAGTTAATTAAAACTATTTCAATAATAACAATATTATAGAGCAAATTTATATTTTCTGTAATTAAAAGCCGTTCTTCGACGTTGTATATTATGCTTTATACCGACGTATGATGCACTCATAGCATGCTTATTATATTATAGTCCGTAAATGTTTATATACTTCCGGAATTACAAAAATTCTATCTCTATTTTTATCGCGCGGTGGTTTACCTTGTCTTTTTGCGACACCGTAATTCTAGGGAAATTTATTGCAAGCGTACGAATGTCCCTTCTACAGAATGCATCTTTTACGACATGTTTTTTGCGGAGCGATCCGCGTTTGCCGTATTCGTTTGAGAATAATACCCAGAAGTCTGTCTAACCTTCCTTTATGCAGCCTCGAGTTTCACTCAGATGCACTCTCCTTGTACGCCATACTATTTCGAAAAGCGTATGTATATACATACGTATACACGCGGTTGTACAGAGGTAAATGTAAAAGCCCAGAACCGCGTAACATCTTGCTTGTTAACATTTTGAATACAAGATAATCGCGCACAAACCGATTTTATATATAAACAATGAAATTATCTCGTGACTATATTAATCAATTTATGCACATATTTTAAAATAATTAATTTAGTTTATTACATAATTAAACGTCATACGTTCGTAATATATATAAACTTATAAAGCATATATAAGTATCGATGTTGTTAAGGATTTGCTTTGAACGATACGTGTGCAATATGCAATGTGCTACATTGATTACTTTCAAGAAAAATGTAAGAAACAACTTGTTACACGTTGCATATAAAAGCAGCTTGAATATAATTAATACCACTTGGAAAGAACGGTTTTGCTAAAGTATCTAAAAATTTAGTTAGATATAGAGCTGAATAATTTTGTAACCATTATGATAAAATTATGTCGAAATATCGAAATAATTAGAACCGTCAAACTAGATACTGGAATACACCGAAATTTTTTACAGTTCATCATATTTGAGCGTCCTGTATTATTATTCTCAAATTTGTATATTTATCTAAATTTTTAGATAATTTTGGAAAACCGTTGTTTCCGCGTACTGAAGAAAGATAATATTCCCTGTCCATTCCGTTTTTGCGACTTATTCCATACACATTTACATGAAACTCTCAATTCAGAGTTAAGAAGAAAACATCTCGCATATGTGCTCCTATATCGGTATAAATGTGCGCATATAACTGTAATTCCGTAAACGGGAACTTACATTGTGAACGTTAAACTTGTAGACGACTTTCGTAACTTGCACCCCCGGTCATGGCAAAAATTTACACGATACCCTTGCTTCTGCATTACGAAGGATTTCGCGAGAATTAGGAGAGTGCTTCTAGTTTTCGTAGAAGGAAACAAATGTTGCTCCTTAAGCAGCACTTTCATCCGAGTACGTAAGAGTATTGGCGAAACGGACGGTGGAAGAGACAACGGAGAACAATCATTTTTAACTTTATTTACGGAAACGTAAATTTATTTTTATTATTTATACTTCTCTCATGTCGTTACTTGCCTTAAACAAATTTTTGTCAGTTTTATTTTTATATAAAATATAAATTATTCTACAACACTAAGGTGTTGTCACTTCTGTGAGATATCTGTTCTTTCATCTTTTATTCGTTACATTATTTTTCTCAATACAAAAATAACGAATATTTTTTTTATCGCCTTTAATCTCAATATGTAGTTTTATTCATTTGTAAAGGCGTACGAACCGTTAAAGAGGAAAATAAGCGAACGCGCATTCACATTGAAAAAAGAGAGAGAAAAATCAGTTCTTGATGACGTTTAATTTCCGCGCTTCTTTCTCTTTAATCGACGAATAAAAATTGCTATTGTATTTAGACCACCGCACCGTGGAGAAAGCACAGTCGCTGCGCGAGATGCTAAACGGCATTATACATGTTGCAATGTGTATCGTCGATATAATTACGTATGCGTACATCACACCCGGCAATTTGTAATGTGGTGTATAATACGATGATAAATCATTTCTGCCGTAGTCGCACTCATACATAAACATATTTAGCCCTCAACACTAACGCACGACGTTAAACACTCGATTAACGTGCAAGTACATATGGCATATCATACGTACGAGCGGTTTCGTTTAACGACGCCATTAATTACACTGTTCATTATCAAAATTTATCGTTAATGAATCGACATCATCATCATTATGTTTACCATATAATTACGTTCGGCTACAATTTTCATGAAGAAATGCAAGATTCATTTGCGGCCGGGATATCACACAACTGCTCTGTGCACGACGTGTACCTATATATTATCCGCGTCGGACCAGGAAACGTGATCGAGTGCGGAAGTGTTGCTCAGGCGCGATTGTTAGAAATTCGATTCTATTCAGAAACTTTGTCCGCAGGTGACGAGGAACTGCTAACAAAAAGGGCTGGCGAGTGCATTCTGCCTGGTGCTTGCCCCGCGCAGTGCACATGCAACGGCGCGACAGTCGATTGCTCTAACAAGAGATTAACTGCAATACCAAAGGATTTGCCGCTTTACACGTCGACTTTGTAAGTACATATACTTCTCTTAATTGGCGTGTTAAATTATCACGAATAAAATCCGGAAAAAGAACACACGTTGTTAATCCCGACGCTAATATCACTGATGCTATCCAAGTTCTGTCGGATATGAACTTTCTAAGCTCCGTTTTTTTATCATTGATGAGTAAATAATCGACAACGAAAAGATTTGACAGGCAAAAGACATATCTTCCGTTAAAAAATTTATTCCAACAATATTTTACTTATATCGTTACGTTGCTAAGAGACGTAGATGGGCGTGCAAAATGAGAAAACTAAAGACAAACTCAATTTATGTCATACAGGATGTCGCAGCATCCGCAATGTATTTCATGCAGTTATGTTTGTCATGCTGAACGCACTTGTCCCGCGAACGTTTTTAGTGTCTCCCAAAATACTGTGTGACATCGCGCTGATGAAGAGTCGGTCGATCTAAAATAAGGAAAATTTTTTCAAAATATTTAAGCTTTCGATATAATTGAATACTAAATAATAACACTCATTTTGCCAGGCATTCTTGCCTCTGATCGTAATTAAAGGTATAACGAGGCGCTTTTAATAAATAATAGGTAATAATTATACGTTACAATTTGGTAATAATTATGCTATCTTCAGTAATGTGTGCAAATTATAAAATTATAAAAATTATTCATTCATCTAAATAATGAATATTCTAAATAACGATGTTACGTTTATATGCAATAATAATCTAATCAGTTATATTAAGGAATGAGATTATGGAAACGACTGGTATCGATAAATATAATAATAATCAGCATTATCGAGCTCTAATTATATCTAGCTAATAATAACAATTAACATGTTAAACATAGACACATACATAAATGAATTGCAGATTGAAACTGTAAAACAATATAATCTTAAAAGGTAATCTCAAATAATTTAAAAAGTATGATTTAATTGATCGTATAATTAAACTAGATAATGGTAATGGAAATAAAACGAATTACAGTAAAGATTATTAATCCAATACGAACTAATATGTCGTTTTGCAATTTGTGACTTGCAATTAGTTATATTTCTAGTTTACAATTACTTTACAATTAGTTTATCATTTGAAGTAATATACATTCTGAATTATTATGTTTTTGTGAAAATGTTCACTTTAAATTATTGAGTATTGGACAAATCAATCGATCGGTCGAAATGGTCCAGACGAGTAGTTAGGATGAATATTATTCGTCTGTAGAGAATTCTCGTCGCTCAGTTCGAATATTAATTCGATCGTTGAACCAGATAATCACCTGATTAAATCGTAGAGTGCAATAGGAAAAGAACAATGAAGATTGGACTATTATTCGCAGTAAATTACGCATCTGGCTCATTCAATGGCTCGGAGTTTTATGAAAAAAATTAATTTTTCCGTATCTCATTCAATAATCAATATATTAGCCTCTATAAAGAAATCTATATATACATAAAAAATTGAAATGTTTCTCTGGCGTACGTGGTTTTCAGTGTTTATTTTTGCTACCTTATTTGTATTTTGCGTTCAAATTTATCAGTAAACGTTATAAATATTAATATAAAAAAGTCGTCGATTTTGCGATTAAATTTTCCTTTTCGAGAATTTTAAAACTATCCAATTTAAAAATAAAACAACGGCTGAGTTATTAATAATTGCTACAGCAATTTATTATTTCATTCTATTTCAGGAACATACATTTTTGTACTCCGATAAATTCGAGGTTAATAGTTTTATCCGAACGTTAGAACGTATTAATTACGAACGAAGCAAAACAATCAACTGCAAGTTACACTATTGCTCGATATATATCGTACGAACATTCTGCAATGCACCAATTTCTCTGCCCGAGAGTTATTCCAGCGCGCAATTCGCAAAATTTATTGAGCGACGCATTGTTATAACGCGGTAGCGAATAAATTGCTCGGTGGGTAGTCGAAAACAAGTGATGGAGTAACGAACGGAAAGTACCAATTTCGCCCCCCCCCTTTTTTTTTTACGTTGTCGAGTAACAAACTGACCGTGCATGGATATCGCGAACGCGAATGCATGTTTCGCGACTTCGTTCTACTTGCATTCCTTTCCACTTGTATGTTCACGCCAGGTTGTTGAGCAACAATGAACTGGACAAGATCAAAGCGGACGGCCTTTTTGAGAAGTTGCCGGAGCTGCAGCATCTGGATCTTAGGAAAAATAAAATCTCCCGCATCGAGGCGTCTGCCTTTCAAGGAGCTCACAATCTCACCGACCTGTAAGTCACTACGAGTCCCGAATTATACCGCTTTCGTAGCATAGTCCCGACCTGTTTCTTCTTTGCGACATTGTCGTCGTCGTCGCCGTCGTTGTCTTTCTGGAAAACTTCGCTTTTGCTGGCACAATAGAAGCCGTTCTAGAAGTACCGTTGTGTAACGCTAGAATTGTTTTCTTTACGCGGTCTTCTATAGTCGATATTTCCAACTTTAGAAAATCTCTCTTGGAAGAATTTTCGAAGACCGCATTGTCTCCGAGGACAATTATTAAAACAATACCAGTGGTTTTTCGTCAAAGACTTGAGCGGTATAATATTGTTGATTGCGTGTTGCGATTTGCTGAACTCAATTTTGCGGCTATTAATTTTAAACTAAAGTGTCAAAAGACGGCGATACAAATACATAATAATATTAACAAAAAGACTTTATCAATCTCACCTGGATATTAATACTTAATAATGTAATATATATTTTTATATGTGAATGTACATATTATATTCTATATTCTACAACTGCGTATCGAAATTATTTTCAATCTCAAAATGCCACCAAACTAGAGTAGTAATATCATAATAAATGGCCAAGTAATTTAATAATATATATATTGAAACCAATAGGCATCCTAACTGTAAATAATTCGATGTTGATAAGTATCTTAAAAAGCTGCAAATAATTTAACATCAAATTAGCATTGCAGCTATTTAGAACGTTTATTAACATCAATATTATTAAATTAATTGGCAATTTAATTTGTGGTACACTACCACAGTTCGGTTTAAGGCTGAAAATTGTGTTTAAAGACTAAAAATGATTTCGGCGCGTAATTGTAGAACTGGATATGTATTTAAACTCACTGAAATTATTTAGAATCAGCTCATAGACCAATAAGACCTTTTTATTATTTACTGTGTATTAATTTTTATTTTTTACTTGCACATTACGATTACCAAAAATGTTTCTAATATACGAGACTGATAATAGCACATCTGTTTCATAAAAATATTTTATCGTTCCATAAGAGATTAGATGATATACGGGAACTGAACTTGCAATATATCAGCCATTCTACCATCATTTATTGCATGCGATTTATAGGTATCCAATATATGGCAAGAGTTATAAAAATCTTTATAGTTATAAACTATATATTTTTAAGATATACTTCGAAGTCGAGTAACGCTTTTGGACATTATATTCGGAATTTAAAGAATATAAAAGCATTACACATCAAACGGTACCACGTTTAAAACGTCTCTGCGTGCTTTCACGATGTTCATAATGCGTGTATGCTCGTTAGCTCAAAGAATGATATTTATCGACTCGTAAAAAGTGACGGCGAATTGTAAATGCGACGCAACTTAGCTCGCAATCTCCTTTCCATTTTGTCGTGCGCCTCGTTTCACGATGTGACGAGCTTTCTTTTCACAGGCTTTTGTCCGAGAATAGGCTGCGAGAAGTGCACAACAAGATGTTCTCCGGCCTACCGAGCCTTAAAACACTGTAAGTACCTCGTTGGAAAAACGTACCATCTAGCGTTGATAAAACGCTATCGTGTGGTAAACGATTACTCGTACAATTTACTCTGCGTAGGAATCTCCATGGTAATTCCATTACATGCGTTATGCCAGGGTCGTTCGACGGAATGCCGCACATACGCGCCATGTAAGTTCATGACTAATCGACAAATCAAATTACCCTAAGATTGGAGCTGTACGGAAATTGTTATTAAATTTTTTTCCTTTTTTTTTTTGTGTGTCATATTATTTTATTTTTCTTTATTCTTTGTGAAAAAATGCAAGTAATTAAATAGTCGGAGAAATGTATACTATTATATCTCTAAAATAATAACATACCGGCTGTAATAATCCGAGTGTAATCTTCGTGTTACCGCCTCCTTATTGTAACGTTTAACATATTTTTCGATATCTGCAGCAACATGCAAGGTAACCCGCTATCGTGCAACTGCTATCTCGCGTGGTTCGCCGGATGGTTGAGGAAACGAGATATAGCCGGAATCACTGGTCGTTGTCACGATCCACCACGATTAAAGGATGCCATCATCAAGGATATTCCGCACCACGAATTCAAATGCAACAGTGCGTTTAATGCATTACTGTACAATTTTGGTCACCTGTAGCACCTGCAGATATATCTTACTCTCGCAATTTGTATTACCGCGCTCTATGGTCGATCGCTATGAATTCAAAATAGAGTACAAATATGACGTATTCCGTGGAATCGATAGCATCGATTTGCATGCAAACCGATTCGCACGTATATACAAAATCGAAATCAATATAACATATTAATTAAATCTGAATTTACGAGCAACGCGTATTTCGTGCCTTCGAGTTGCATAGGTATATTACTTGCACTGCGAAAAATATTTTCACGAATAAGTTAGTTACTTTTGCTTGTGCCGTCTTTATTTGTTTTCGCAAACTAATATTTGTAATCTGAATTGCAAATCCCGTTAACGATCTACCAACTATTTTACACCCATCAGACGACAGCGTGGGTTGCCTAGGCGACGATTACTGCCCGCCTCAATGTAATTGCGCGGGTTCGGTGGTGAGATGTTCGAGGTCTCAGCTTACAGAGATTCCACGCGGGATTCCACCGGAAACCACCGAGCTGTATTTGGACGTGAACGACATCAAGACGATCCAACCGGAGAGGTTGAACCACCTGAGGATTCTCACCAGACTGTAAATAAAACACGCGTGCACCTTTCCGTATATCTTTCAAGCGGCTTTCGCCATGTTTAACATCCGCTTCGTTTTCAGGGATCTGAGTAACAACCAGATCGGAATGTTGTCCAACGATACCTTCAGGAATCTCACGAAGCTGTCGCATCTGTAAGTCGAATATGTATTCTGTTACTCCAAAAGTTGTTTATGCAATTTATAATATACGCGAATCCTTTTTGCAGTATAATCAGTTACAACAAGTTACAGTGCGTACAACGAAATGCTCTCGCGGGATTGAAGAACCTGCGAATAATGTAAGTCTCGTATTCAAATACTCGCTAATGCTATCGTCTTGACATGCCTCTTTTATTTCTGCGAAAAAATCTGCTGTTGAATACTCAATATTTTGCCAGGAATGGAAGTAACTCGTTACTTGTAACAAAGTTACAGTTAAAAGTTATTTTTTGGATAACGTTATATTTTTATTTGGTAACGTAGTTACATTTTTTCTGGTAACGAATTTTACAGTTATTTTTATCGTTACTTAGTACACGATTATCAGAAACTATAAATTCTTAATTTAAGTTTTATTTTAATCGAAAAACAAAAAATGACAAATTAAAATCTTTCTACGCCAATAATGGAAAAATATGCACTATAATTTCATTGCCCTTCCTCAGTTCACTACACGGTAACGACATATCGGTCATCCCAGAGGGAGCATTTGAGGATCTCAAGTCTATAACACATCTGTGAGTATCACTCCATTGGTGCACTATACGCACTTGATTTTCGATACCAGCCATTTATCGATTACGATGTTTACAGTGCCCTGGGGTCCAACCCGCTTTACTGCGATTGCAGCATGCGATGGTTGGCCGAGTGGGTGAAGAAAGATTATGTGGAGCCTGGTATTGCCAGGTGCATGGAACCTCCTGCGATGAGAGACAAATTGCTTTTGACAACACCGGCTAGTGCCTTTCTATGCAAAAGTAAATATCTCATAAGCGTATATCTCGATTGCGGGCAGAATAGCCAAGAGATTCTATCTGCAAATTCCGCTAAATAAATTGCTATCCGCGAATCGCGTATCAATAATACTTTGTTGATACAATAATATAGAATCATACAATTTACAGTATATCTAATTCTGACTTCTATTCCAACTGTTATATTCAAATCTTCAATAACATGTATTAATATCGTTCAGTAAAATATTTATCATTGAAATTGGAAATATTAGTCCCGATTTTACAGCAGAACAGGTCATTGAGAATCGATTTTTTATTGGACATAAAAAATATATTTTTTACTTTTTTTTTTTAACATCGTTTAATACACTTTGTAGTCTCTTATGAGCAAGAGAAAGAATTTCTCTGGCTGCTTGGCCATTACTGATCCGCAATCGTATACTGGTTGTCGCACGTGACGATGTTTTTGATTTTTCGTAGTACAGCGCGACGCAGTCTGTTTAGTTCGTGGTTTTTTGGCCCAACATCACGGTAGGGTACTAAAATTACTCATTAATCGTAGACCTTTCTTCCGCGCAGCCAAGCAGCAGCCAGCCGAAGTCTTGGCCAAGTGCGACTTGTGTTACACCTCGCCATGCGAAAACGGAGGATTTTGTGAGGCGCTTCCGGACCGGCAGTTCCGTTGCAAGTGCACGCCAGGATATCACGGGGACCGGTGTCAGCATAAAATTGACGCGTGCTATGGAAATCCTTGCAGGAACTCCGGAACTTGCAAAGTACTGGAGGAAGGAAGATTCAGGTACTTACTACGAGCGACAGTCCAACCTTGATCAGAGTAGTAGCTCGTCGGGCTGACTTTAGAGTCGCTCGTCCAGTGGAACCCGTAGAACGTTTGCGTGCCATATCTAGACAAAATTTGGAATCCAGACAAAAGTTCTATCGAATTTTGCAGTTTCTTATCCTTCTTTTTTATGTCAGCCTTTTGCTTGAATTTTCATAATTTTTTTTTTACGAAATTATGTAGCACGTTTACGAATGTGCGATAAAACGAATAATTTAAAACAAGCCTAACAATTTTTTAATTGCTCTGATTACTGTCTTGAGAGAAGAAATCGATCAAGCAAAGGATAACAGCAATATAAAATTTTTTAATATGAATTAAGTTGTACAGATTGTATGAGGAAAACAATAAGTTATTCAATATTAAATTTTAAAAGACTGTCAATGTAACAACATATAGCTAATACGAATACGAAGCCTATAACAGTTTAGCTGGATCTTATTATTAGTTGCTTACATATAATTTCGCGTGAATTTATATACTGATATATTGTCTTTCTAAACTACGTGCCGAACAATTGTCGGTCTTGAAACGCAGCTCTAATAACTACCGCAGTACTATCACGAATTAAATTGATTAGTAATTTAATAATTGTTTGATAGTAAGTAATTTAATAATTGTGTTTGATAATAAGTTATTCATTATATATGAATGAGTTGTATCAAGATTCATTCTTAAGACAGTGATCTCAGATTTGCTAATACCCAATTTCTTTATCTCTAGATAACTTTTATCCAGTAGATATCTCCCTAAATATAATGGAGACATCTCCTGGAAAAAGTTGTTCGAAACTTATCTGCAAGTGAAGAAATTGGATATATGAAAGAGAGAATCCTAATATTGTCATCAAGTAGTATCACAAATATAGATTTGCATAATTATATAATTGGAAAGTATTGATTCTACTATAACGGTAGATCGTAGGTATTATATTAATAGAACCTGCACGTTATTTTATGCCTAAATTATTTCACATGAACCAAGTAGTTCTTTGAGACATTTTCGTTTGAACATCAAAGTAGATGTAAATATGCACGATGTAAGATTTTATATATACAACACTCTGCATCTCGAAGCTTGAATTTGACAAATAAATCGCTGAATAGAAAAAGAATTGTCTTTCTGAGCTGCTGTGCTATTTTGACAACTCCGACACGTCGGGCTGTTTAAAGTGACGCCCGAAGTGGAACACGATCGGAGCATTCGTCAAATTCCAGCTCTCAACATGCGTAATAAACGGGACCCTCTGCACGTGAGCCCCGAGGAGTGACGACTGCAGGCTATAAACTGCCGACAGCGCTGTCAATAACCTGCTCATAACAGAGGCTATAGCGATTATCGAAAAATCGAAGAACTTCCGTATCGAGAGCATACGCACGTCAGATTGATACAAGCAAGCCTAGGATTCATACTTATTTCTAACAATATAATGTACAATATTTACCTTTGTCTTTATTGCTTGTATATTAAAAACAATGATAACAATACAATTTAAAATAATAATAATAAATATATACAAGTAGATTTTAATATGTAGTGTAATCATTATTTATTTAATTATGTTAATTAAATTATAAATTTAGTCTATTCCAAATTAAAGAATAGAATTGCATATATGTAACTTATCATTTTTTCCCTAAAGATTAGTGCATCATTTTCTAAATTGCTTTTTTCTATCATCCCTCGGTAGAAGGAATTTAATAATCAAAAACGCGTGCTATAAATACATAGAAAATAAGAAAGGAGAGAAGCAACGTCGGTAGTATATCGCCTGCGGTAAGGTACCTTTGGCGGATCTACCGCGATCGCATGTCAGGCTCAATGTCTCGATTGACGTTCAGTCGGTGTGTGACAGTTGCGACTGCGCCCCCGGGTACAAGGGACTTCGATGTGAAAGCAACGTCGACGACTGTGCCAACAACAGGTGCGCTAACAACGCAACCTGCGTCGACCTCGTACAGGCCTATCGATGCGACTGCACCCCAGGATTCATGGGAGAATACTGTGAGGAGAAGATACCATTCTGCACAAAGGGTCACGACCCCTGCGAGAACGGAGGCCGATGCGTCGACCACAAGACCCACTACAGCTGCGAATGCCCAGTCGGCTTCACCGGCCTCAATTGTTCCACAAACTTGGACGATTGTGTCGATCATATGTGCCAGGTACGTGCGGAACATCTTGAGTTAGCTGCATTAGCTGTGTTTTGCGTCAGAGAAACCTGATCGGTGAGCCCTTAGTGATTCTTTAATATGATTAGCTGTCTTTGGTTCTTCGTTGAATCTAAGCGTATAGGACTTAATCATATTAAAGAATCATTGAACGCTCACTGACCACTCATATAGCATAATAAATTTTAGAAATATTTAATATATATATAATATATTAATATATATTATATATAATATTGCAAGAGCTTTTAAAAATATTTCAGAAATGTTTCATAAAATATTTTTAAAATATAAATGTATTTAATAAAAGTCAGTTTTTAAATTATTTTTTTTCTTACAATATTTATAAAATATTTTTGTGAAATATTTTAATGCAATATTTTAAAAGGTTTTGGAAACGTTTACAAAATATTTCTGAAATATTTTATTAAAATATTTAAAAAAATGATTCCTATAAATGTTTCACGCTGTGTGGGCAACTTTCTGTTAAACGCAGCTATTTGGTTGCAAATATAAAATTTTTTAATATAGCCCTATCCTTAATTTCTCCATAGATCTAAATGCAATCATATTAAAAAAAATCTTATACACTTGCAAAGTTGTTTCTTCTGTTAAACATAGTCATTTCTGTCGATAGCGGATAAACGATCGCTCGGATTTGTTTCTTCCGAGTTGCGATAGGCATTATATTCTCGGTTTTCTCGTATAACGAAGCCGCGGCGTACATACATACAGCAACATAGTAGCTATGTACTCCCGGTAACACGACGCTTTATCGCATTAACGTATCGATTGTTATAGGTTCTATGCCTTATTGTGTACAATAAATGGTTAGCAAAGTTATATATAATTTTATGCATTAATAAATGGTTATGAACTTTTCACTTTAAATACGCACGACGAAAGTCAGCGGAGTAAATTTTATCTCGTATTAACTGATACATTTTCTATTAATGTTTAATTAATATTATGAAATATTGAATAATTTTATTTCTCAAATTTTCAATAATATTTTGTTTACATTGTTTTCCCTCTTTATTGTGATGAACAATATTAATTAAATATCTTCAAACTTTATAATAATGAATTCTCTGTAAGCATCGCAATAAGGATTTTCATAATGTACTTTTATAAAATTCTATCCACTTTCTCTCTCTCTCTTTCTCCCTCTCTCTCTCTCTCTCTCTCTCTCTCTCTCTCTCTATAAATAAGCAACATCTACTGTTGTGAGTTTAAAATTCATTAAAATAAGTAATTATACGTAGTTACTATAGAAGTCGCGTGCACGGGTGCACCTATCTGTATCAGATTAATGATATCTGTTTCATTTACATCATATCATAGGAATTTATTTTCTCGTATCGCTTGCGGTTGCGACAATTGCAATTAATTTCTAGCTACCACATTAATAATTCCCCTTTATATTCGTAGGGGTTGTAATAATCCAGGTACTTTTCTTTTTGCTTCGAAATATCCTAATTTTGATAACAAATTTTATAATTTTTATTTTTGAATTGTGCTCATGCATTACATTTCTGGACGGTTCAACACGCGGATATGTCTCTTTTGCATTTCATTTCAAGAAGTATTTCTCGCTTAACGTAGTATCGATTTAATTCAGTACAGTATCAACATGAAAACTTAAATTTAGCGACATAACTTGACTTGCATGAAAGCCAAACTTTTATTTGACTATCGACTCTTAAATAGAACTCAGGCAGATACGATCTTCCTTTCGGAAGAAACTTTACAGTTGCGAAGAGCTACGACCCGGAAGCATAAAGTTGGCGTATGAAATTTTACGCGAAGATTCTTCTTCGCGGTATTATATGCCGGCCAAATTTCATTTGAGTGTTTGCGCGGAGTATAGAAAGCTGGTGTGGAGTTTTCGGCTTTGTGGCGCTAGTTCTAAAGCCACGGTAGTATATCACGTTCCAAGCTTTCTAAGCTTCCGTGAATGGCGCGGAATTGACCTACAGAAGCTGTCTTTCTATGAATTTTCCATCTCCATACATTGAATATATGCAGTTAAAATAACTTACATTTTGCAATGTCATTTAATTGGAAGACATATTTACGTTATATTATTAGTTGCCTTAATTATGATAATTATGATTAATATACTTAAATCGTTTATATTGCATATAATAATGCCGAACATCCCGAGTTGCTTCTATTGGCTTGAGTAGAATTTTGAACCGTACATTGACAAGATTAGCACGTGTAACTCGCAGGGGGGATATATTATTGCACATATGTGACTTAAGCTCCAGAATACATGGCCTTTAGTTTGAGACTCTACACTACACCAGGCATGTGAAACTGGCGGACCGCCCGATGATTTGTAACCCTCTGCTAGTAGTTAGTTGCATCTACAGTTTGCGCGCGTTCCTATCTTATCCGTAAACTTACTTGGCTGACATTAATTAGACGATTATATTAGAAATGCATCGACGTCAAAATTATTACTTTAGTTTAATTTCACTTTTATAATGTCTTATTTTATAATTTCTTACATGTTACATTTTTCAGAATCCCTTGGATTTAAATTAAAAATCATAATTAAAATTTTATAGTAAAGTGTAATTAAAAATATTTTATAATGTATACATGCTCTTTGTGATATTATAATATTGATATTTTTTTCAATTTTCTTATAAATCTTCTTATAATCTTATAAAAAAGATTTCGAAGATTCTTCTTTGCTGTTGAAAACGTAACCTGTTCAAAGATTGAAAATATATGTTAAAGGTTTTTTTTATTAGCGCAGTATTTTTTTACTTCTGATCTCACATTTTAATTGACACTTTTGTAAATTGTAATTTGTTTGTTTTGCAGAACGGTGCTACTTGCGTTGACGGCATAAACAATTACGAGTGTAAGTGCGCGGCGGAGTATACAGGGAGATACTGCGAGGCTGCACCCTCGACAGCCATGCTGTATCCACAGACAAGTCCGTGTGCCCACCACGACTGTCAGCATGGTGCTTGCTTCCAGCCCGCTCCTGCCTCCGCCGCGGACTATCTTTGCCAGTGCCATCCCGGCTATACCGGTGAGAAAAAAATCTTTAATAATTAACTCCCCCCCCCCCTCCCTCAATCAATTCTATTTCATATAATCTTCATAGAATTTTTTACTACCTTTTATCATGTTTGATGTTCAAGAATTCGCTAATTTAACACGGCACGACCACTTATCCATCATTTCAGGAAAACGATGCGAGTACCTGACGAGTCTGAGCTTCGTGGACAATAGCTCGCTGGTCGAGCTAGAACCGCTACGCACGAGGCCCGAAGCGAACGTGACCATCATATTCACGACCACGCAGGAAAACGGGGTTCTTCTCTATGATGGACAAAACGACGGACACATCGCCGTCGAGCTATTTAATGGGCGGGTCAGGGTTTCATACGACGTGGGTAATTATCCTACCTCGACGATGTACAGCTACGAGATGGTGGCCGATGGTAAGCCTCACATGGCGGAGCTTCTGGCGATCAAGAAAAATTTCACAATGAGGGTCGACCGGGGTTCCGCCAGGAGCATCATCAACGAGGGTCCGAAAGAGTACCTCAAGCTTGTCACGCCAATGTTCGTCGGTGGCGTAGCGCCAGAAGTTGCTAAAGTCGCATTTACCGACTTTCACCTTAGAAATATTACGAGCTTCCAAGGTAAATTTCTTTTACGGCACTGAGAAATATCCTTAAGATTAATTAACATTCTTGTATTATAACTTTAATAATAAGCGCGACATTGACAGAGAAGTGTCACTATTACGAAAAAATAGAATAGTTTTAATAAATTGCAAAGAAACGTGTTATTATATCACGACATAGAAATAAATCGAATATTCAATTCTTCATTTTAATAGGTTATTTTAAATAATAATTTTCATGAAAGAGTAATTATTAAACTTTTAATTACATATTTAGAGCTAATTATAAAAAAAGATTATATAATAATGTTACAACGAAACCACTCGGTAGGGAATATTTCAAAGATTTCACGGATGATTTGTGCCCTACACCACCACTAGTTCCAACACCGATACTCTGCAGTTCCTCTGGGAAACGATAGTTGTCGCAAACTCGGAATATCAGCCACAAATTTGCAACTTGCGGAGACCTCATTTAATATTCGGTTACATTTTTGATGTCCCCCGGCGCAATACTACGATTTACTACGTTTGCATATAGTGCACGAAATAATATGTAGCACGATATGTATCCAGGTGAAACTAGATTTGAAAAGTTTAGCGACAATGCGAAAATTCGTGATCGGACTGCATCATACATAATAGTATAATTTGTATCTGGACTTCCTGTATTGTAAGATAGAGAGGGAAGCTATTTCAACAATGAAAGTATATTGACGTCAATCACTGAAGTTGAGCGTAACGTACCCTCTTATGAGAATTTATGCAGGCGCGAATGCGTACTTGCGTCACTTACGCTCTTACTCAATTGCATTGTAACGTTCAGTACACATTCCCGTGCTATACTACTCTTTATATAGGATAGAGCAAAAGTTCCTTCCTCGCCAGATCCATTAAAAGTTTTCTTGCTTTATCTCAGGCTGCATCTCCGAGATGTGGATCAATCATAAGTTGGTAGACTTCAGCAACGCCGCAAAGATGCATCGTGTTACTCCCGGATGTGCCGCTAGCGAGGAAGAAGCCGATGAAGCGAGAGATATTGTTGAAGCTGAGGGAATTAACAATAGTGGTAGTAACGAAGAGACCATACCACAGGAGCATATACCTCGCGAACATTCTGGTATGTTAATGTCTGTAATTACTGTTTGCTTAACGTTAACTTGACTTATTAAGTTAAGAATAGTTCACATACATTTGAAGTTTTTCAATTCCTAAAGTTACTTACGAATAATATACTGAGATACATTTTTCAGAAAAATTTAAACATACATACATACACTGTAAAAAATAAAATGTTAATTTTAACTCAAAGACGTTGAGTGGATTTTCTGAGACACGCAAAAATGTTGACATTAACACAAAAATGTTAATTTTAACATTTTTGCGTGTCTCAGAAAATCCACTCAACGTCTTTGAGTTAAAATTAACATTTTATTTTTTACACAACGTGTATATATATATATATATATACACACACATAAATGACTGAACGACGTAATGACTCAACATCTTGCATTTATGAAAAAATGATGAATTATTGTATATACAATACAAGAACGTTAAATTGGATTAAAAAATTAGAAGAAGTTATCCTGTTTTAAATTAATTCAAAATCTTTATATAATACCATACATTCACGATAAAAAAATGTATTAATTAAATATAAATAGATGTCATCATGCCGTTAAGTGGATTGGTGCCTTCACATGCGTGTATCGGACATGAATGCAAAAAAGGATCCCAATGCATACCGTCGCCTTACGGCAACAGCTATTCTTGCCGATGTCAAACTGGCTGGCAAGGACGATACTGCGAGAAAGGTGATTCTTTTTTCAATATTATCATATATGAACCACGAATATATATTTATTATAAAATAAATTTATATTTTCCACTATAGAACAAAGAATAAAATTCCATATACACAATAAACACTTTACATATAATATACACATCATCGATAAATATTTTACAATTTCTTATGTCAAACCGATCTCCGAAAGTTTCCTTCTTATTTCCAGTATGCTTACAAATTAACCTTTTCAATTCCTAACACTAAAAAGTTTCATTAAAAGAGGGAAAGATAAAGAAAATTGAGTATTAGATTAAATGAACATATATCTGATATTAGAAAAAAGACAGATTCTCCCACTGTCATAATAGACTATCGTATTAATTTTGACCACAATTTTAAATGGAATAACGTTAAAATTGTTTTGATAATAAAATTAATATCAATATCGCAGCACCAACCTGTCGCAAGGAGCATACCAGGGAGTACTACAGCGAGAATGGATGTCGGAGTCGACGACCTGTGAAGCTTGCTAAATGTTGGGGAAGTTGCGGCAATTCCTGTTGTTTACCGCGGAAGACTAAGCGGCGCAAGGTATAAAAAATATTCATATATCACACAAAAGGATTTGTGAATAATTTGGTTTCCAGAACGGAACAATATATTGATAGAATATTTCCTCCGCGTAACGTCGAATTTTATAGTAAATTAATATTTTGCATCAATATACATATTTATATCTTATGAGAATAATCCTATTCCTATTTTCCTATAAATAGACAGCGCACAGGAATATATTAAATCGCTCTTGTTCCTGTTAATTGATATTAAATTCCATGTTAGTTACGATCAGGCAAAGCAAGTGAACTATTTTATTTTTCCAAGTGATCGATCGCGCGGGAATCGTTCGAAGCAACTGCGTCAATTACTGCAATTATATTCATTAAGTTCCGACTGGTGACGGTGACTCCCCTCAGTCGTTATGCCGATAACGATCGTATATCAGGAGACGCGGCAGTGTCTTCGGCCATGTTCAAAAACTGCTATAGTTAATATATGAAATATAGTCATTATAAATAATTGTATATTAATTTCAGGTTCGATTAATTTGCGCGGACGGCATGCGGTACACTAAGGACGTTGACCTGGTGCGTAAGTGCACGTGTACTCGTAAATGTTACTAGCCAGTCGACGCACCGCGGCCCGAGTCTCGTCGGCGCGCATCGAGACGTAAAACGAGACCGAGAAGAAACCCCCGGATCCGAAGCAGCACTCCCGAGCATACTTCCACGTGTCCTCTGAGATGACGAAAGGAACGACAGCGGGGGCGACGAGGGCAAGCACTACGACGTGCCCTCGGCATCCCTATGTGTGAGGCACGTGGATGAGAAAGTGCGTGAGGAAGTGCAGGCCAAAACTAGATGGACACACACATAGCTGGCTCAGTGTGATATGTATTATTAAAAAAAGAAGAAGAGAGAGGGAGAGAGAGAGAGAGAGAGAGAGAGAGAGAGAGAGAGAGAAAAAGAGAGAAAGCGAAAGAGAGAAAGAAGAAGCAAAAGTATATTGTACGTAATATATAGCTACGGACTATCGATATCGAAGCAGTTAAACGTATACTAGGTATTATTCGTATATATATATAATGACCCGATATAGGATATATAACGACGAAACGCGGGCGAAAAGAAGGATGGGCGCGAGCGCGCGCGGACAATGTGTCCGTTATATATTTGCGATCGCGGACCGCGCACGCGGGCGCTTGCGTGTTCGTAATGTTACGCACGAGTGCGTACGATTACGCCGTTGATTTAGCGCGGAATGGACCTAACTGGTAATAGGGGGATTCGCGGCTACGTACAAACAGGCTTCCGTAATCTTCTTATAGGATGTATACGCGCAGCTTTTTGTTTAATACATTTCCGCTGTTGTAATCTCTATCCAGGCTTTGATGCAAGGCATTTCGATTGTAATCTGTTTTTCCGAAATTATTATTCGAAGAATGTAATAATTATCCCTTTTTATTACACAACGAAGATATTTGACAAGTATTGCAATAAAGTTATCTGAGCAGTTTTATACTTGAATTAACTACTTTTGTAAAGCAACACATCATCGCGCTGTAGTTATAAAATTAACGTTCGTCTAATCTTTCCGTGTAATCGTTTAAATTAAATTTATTGTTCTCGAAAGTTGCTTGTATTTATAAAAAGACTATTACGTAGCAAATAGAAATTAGTGACAATCGTAATTTCTCGAGCAAGTTTTGTAAATGGCCAACCGCGAAACTTGGATCTATGTTAGGTCTATCTTTCCCCCAGCGAATTTTTACACTAAACGCGAATCTTCGATCGCATAGCTATTTCTATCCACTGAGCAATGGTCTTTGAATTTTTGAAAGAAAAGATCTACAAATATGTGAAAAATAACGAGTGAGAGTGAGAGAGAGAGAGAGAGAGAAATGTTTGTGAAAATGGCTGCAATACTTTTTCGCAAATTGTTTGATTTCAATACACTTCGCTTGGCTACAATACACAGAAATGTTTGTGAAAATGGCATGAATGGCTGCAATACTTTTTCGCAAATTGTTTGATTTCAATACACTTCGCTTGGCTACAATACACACGCGCGCGCACGCAAGCAATGTCGTCGTAGCCAATAAATGAAACGGAGACAAACAAAAGAGAATGGCGATGTGTTTCTTGCCTTTTTCATTAGTTTAGTTGCAGTGCTGCCAATTTAGCGTTCCAGCTATCACTTTAATTGCACAATCTTTAGCTAGTATGAATCTTAGGCCGCTTGTAAATCGTAATAAACGCGATAATCAGAGGGGACAAGCAATTATGCCGTTAAAGAATCGACATGTAAAGTCACATTTACGTGAATAGATCACAAGTAAGTGTCTAACTAAATGTAAAATATATTTTAAGCATAGAAGAAACTTAATTAAAAGTAAGCCGTCAACGTCTTCTTACCTCACTTCACCGACAGCAGCAGTGGGAATGTAGCTTTATTTTTGAAAAAGCCAAGAAATCACATCGTGTGCGATTGAAAGGATTGGGTCTGCGTCACGTTTCGAAGTGCGTTCTTCAAAAATTTTATACTTTACGGCCTAATATTACGTTACGCAAAATGCAGCCTGCAAGCTGCACGGAGCAATGAGAAACTTGCGTTCGGATTGATGCAGGAGATAATAGGAAAATGAATTATGGAGGAACGGAGCAACGCGCGTATATTAACGTTCGGTCAAATGATCGCGAAACAGATGTAACTATATAGGTCGATGAAATCGTCGGTAATCCGAAAACAAGGATTTCACCGATATAAAACCGCGTAATTATTTTTGTATAAGCGCATTATTTATATACCTAAGCTAATTTGCTATTAGTTTAATCAAAGAGCGTAATTCGTTCGTACTACTTAAGCCCATATATTAATGTATGGCGTACTACGTACCTACCCTACATCTATTTATGCGTATCTATTTTTCCCTGGATAATTGCATCGCATCTTCCACTGCCAGTATTTATATATGTATTTATTCCGTTTCCTTGTTTCACTCATACTTATGTTATGTAAACTGTTTTCTTTAAACATATACATTCACTTAGAAGACGAACGAATATCTCTCGACGTGCTTCGCTATCGTCCTTCACAATTTCAACGCGATCTTGTCGCCTAATGTGCGCGCCTCGCGAGAAAGTACCAATCGTAGAATTTACATATTACGTAGTTTTTGGCCGCTAAACGTTTAACGGCCACACGATTGAAAATCGTATCTTTTAGAGTTTTGTCTCTAAATTCACTGCCATCATATGACTGCCACGCGCTTGACGACTGTTATATTAGCCAGTTTCTGTCATACAAAAGAGAGTATGGTGGAAAAGTTCTGTCTATCGAAATGCAGGATTTCTTACCTTTTTTTTTTATCTTTTCAATTGATTTCGATTTGATATAGAAGGTATTTTTATTTTGATTTATAATAAAATTATGCATTATATAAATAGTGAAAAATATTTAAATCGTAAACGTATACGATATCATCCATTTATTGATAGCCAGGGCCGAGGATTCTTATTTGTCTTCATATATTTTCTTCTTTACATGCTGTAAATGGAAAAATAGGTGTACCGTGATCATATAAATACGATATAATATATAATATGATTTACTAGTATTAATAGTCACATAAGTTCCCTATGCCATCTCTTTTTTACATTTATAAACGTCTTGGTTGTCTATATTTTACCATTTGAACGAATGTCTGCGGAACACTCGAAGTCAGCGCCTATCGGAGATCAGATTTTGTATTACAACTCTGTACATTTGGTCCAACGAAATACAAATAAACATATGTAAGCCAGCATACATATTCATTCGTCGTATCGATAATTCATTGCAATACATGATTTTATTATTTATATCGTTTTTAATGCGCGCTCCGCATTTAGCATTAAAGTGCAAAATTGCAAAAGTATGACTAATCAATGTTATCACGGATTGAAAATTGCACGGATATATTTTACTCTAATCACAAATTGTACATAAATGCGTTTCTTTATTTATATAATAAACAACGTTACCTATCAATTGGGAAATAGTATCTAGCGTTTGTAGCAAAATTGTTATCATGATTTTACGTTATTTATAACAAATTCGTACGCGTAACGTGTTAATGTCATATAAAAAAATAATACAGAGAAATATATGACATTTATTACAAATTGTGCATCTATATTGGACAATAATAAAAGGGAATGCCTATAATATTGTAATATATTTTTATGCCGTCCAAAATTCCTGTAATTCGTATTTGTATATTTATTTGACGTGAATGTTTAATATATATCGTGATCGATGAATTGGCGCATGCAACCGAAATGCATATTATTTAACTTTTATTCTCTCGCAAGACGTGGCGAATACTTTTACGTCAAATTATCGAATCATACGCTTCAAGGGACACATACCTCAACATTGCTAGACATTAGCAGTGGGAGCGCGAAACCTTTACTTGATTTTACAGAGGAAAGTCCTCAGAAATGCCTCTTCGATTCAGATGTAATTTCTTTACTCCTTTCGTCGCGCTCGGAATTTACATTGCTCGCATAAAATAAAGACATTTGTCGCGTAACATCTACGACTATAAAGAAAATGAAATATTCTTTGTCGTTTGGTACTTCGTAATAATCGGTGCAAGAATCAAGAAAACTATTTTATCGTCTGTAAATCCACTGCAAGAATTTAATTATGTCGCATGCGTGATCAAAGGAAAGCTGATAATAAGATTCAAATAAAAGAAAGATGTTAATAACGAACTATTTTGAGACTGGATAAATTTGCGAATATAGTACTAACATGTAATATTTATTGGCGCAAAATTATATACATTATTTATTTATTCCTGACAATTTGTATAAAATTATAAATTTAAATCAAAATAGAATAAGCAAATCGAATTTTGAGTACACTTTTATGCTAAATGTGTATTTGCTTTAATATGTTTAATTTAATGAGCGCAGACATAAAGATTTTAATATATAATCACATTAAGACTGCTACATTTAGATAATATTAAATAACGGTGATAATTTATATTAGTATAGTACTATGTTTCCTGCATGATGGATATTATTTGAAAATAAATTTTATTTCAGAAATTCTTTTATCTTTTTGTATAAATATAAATTTATTTTTTCTTTTTAATAAATCCGTTTGCTAGTTCGAATGCTTTTATTTAGGGAACTTATGTGAATAAAAATTGGCAACACACATTCCACATGCAGGTACTACAGTTAATTAAAAGGAGCAGTTATAGTCTACCTAAATATTAACAACGAAAAAGTCTAATTACAAATATAATCTGAATAAAACAAACAATATAAATTTGCGGAACAATTATACGTAAAAAAAATTTTTTTAATGTAATATGATTCCAAAATTATAATTTTTATTACATATATTTTAATTCTACATATTAACAACACGTAAAAGAATATCTTAAACATATTCTAATTTTAGAGAGATTAAAAATGTTTTTTTAAATATATATAATTTTTTATATTTTAATTACACATATCTCAAATCATCGGCTCAGATTTTAAAAGTCAATTATAATATAATAGAATTTTCAAAATACATTGCAATATTGAGTTTACTTTTGATCTTCGAGATTGTGTTAAAATACAATGTCACAATGAAAGTCTGATAATTCATTTTTTTAACAAATGTCATTTTAAGATGTCCAATAATGTATCCTGAAAGAAAATTGACACATTGAGTAAACGAATTGTGTGAAAGAGATAGTGAGAAAGTGTAAGCATCAGTGAATACGACATGTGGTCTGAAAGATGTTTCGAATGAGTATGGTATAACGAAGCGCGCAACGTAATGAATATAAATGTGTTTATTGCGCAAGCACGTTCTACCAAATAACAATGGAATACTGCATGCCTAGAAATACTCTATACTGTAGGTATATTAAATTAGATTATTAGCGTAAAAGCAAAATGTCTATGTTTATATAATGTAACAAATTCTCGAAATATATGAATGCTATTAAACAAACGTGAAGTTCTAAAGTTTAATATACCTTTATTATTAACAGCACTCATATATATTAAATGTAAAACGCACATTCATCATAATTATATTATTTACGTAATGAAAGAAATTCTACCTTGCATATTAATATATAAAATATAAATTATTAATTATTTTTTCCTTTATCGTATTAATTTTATTTAAAAATTAAGCATTATTAGAAACTTCTACGCTAATTATGTTCATTGTCGATCAATATATTTTGTGAAATAATAAGGTTGATTGTTTGTTTTCTTTTTATCTCGGCATTTACACACACAATTGCATTTTCTAGACATATAAAATTAAGAGAGACAAAAACAAATCCTTAATATATAGCTAAATAGCTGATTATTTTTTATGTATCCATTAAAACATGTTGAATATCAATATCTTTTACAAGAATTTTTAAATCATCTAGTTTTTCAATTATCTAGCTAAGCTATATAAAATTGGAACTGTACTTACATTCTTTCCGTTATCAATTAATTTGGTTCTTACAACGCTGTGATAAAAGTTCATAGCGTTACAAAGTTTGTAGTACAAACTTCAAAATTTAATCAATTGTTAAAAATAAAAAAAGATTTTAATTTCACACACACACACACACACACAAAAAGTATTTTAAATCTTTATACATTTAGAAGGTCGTCATGTCCTTTTAATTTCTGTAAATTTGATAATTTATAGAAAACTGATATACCTTTTTATTACTGACAATGGATTAAATAAAAAAAAGGATACTTGACTTTGACTTTGATTATTCCATAACTTTGCTAAAGTTGTCGTTCACAATTCAGATTCAAAAACAAGATAGAAACAAACAAAAATAGATTTAAATAAAAAATTGAGCTGAAACTTTTATCTATCAAACGATACAATTATCAATTTTTTTTTAAATATACATATATATGTGTGTATGGTACAAATAAAAAATATATATATATATTCTAATATCAGTTTTTTTTTAGTTACAATACATTTTTATTGCTTTCATGTTTTATCATTCTTGTACATTCATTATTCACTCTTTAAATTTACAAACTTGCAAACATCAAATATTTAAATAATATTGTTTCAGTTTAAAAATATTTTGTAACGATATCTTTATTCTATAAAGTAAAAATAATCTAGAGAAAATTTCTTAACATGTCTGTATGTTTTAATGGTAATTTGTTTTTAAATATTTCCATTTTATTTCAATTTATTACGTAAACAAAATTACAGGTTTCTGTAACTATATTTTCAACATTACCTAAGTTTGATACATTCTTCACTCTACATTATTCGCGGACGATGTAAAATATATTTCATATTTACATAGAAATCTACTAAATTCACAGAGTAGTTTTTTATCAACCGAATACTGCATAAATTATTGTTTCACAATTAAAGAATTTTGATTAAATGTGATTTCTTTTCAGGGAAAATTCTTTTTCGAAGTCTTTGTTATACGTTGGTATTCAGTTTTATCATGTTTAGGTAGACAATTCCGATAACACCTAAACTTAATTTTGTCTGTTCTAATTGTATAGTTTTGAAAAGTTCCTTATATATGTATATATATCATACATTAAAAATTTACTATTATTTTAATAAATGAAAACAAAGGGAATAATAATATTTTTGTAATGAAATAATATTTTTAATTATTCCTTATAACTTTTTTGTAAATGAAACAAAAATTATTTAGTAACGCTTTAATATCTAATGTATATCAAACTTTGAACTTTATGATCTTACTATTATTATCTAGTAAACAGTTCTTAGTTCATATCAATGCTATACATTGAAATCCGGGAATTATGGCGAACATATAGTCTGTGATTTCTTATCTTTGACCTATGCACTGTATGTATATTGCAATATAAATACGACATCTTCCAAGAAATATTTCGGAGGAAAAAAATTCGCCACTAGAGAGCAGCTCATTGCCGAAACAGAGGCTTATTTGGAAGGGTTGGACAAATCATATTATTCGGATGGCTTGAAAGAGTTGGAGAATCTTTGGATCAAGTGTATCGAGCTGAAAGAAGACTAAGTTAAGAAATAAAAATGAATCAATAAAAAAAATGTGTTTTAATATGTTTTTCTAAAAATTTATTGACTTGCCCTCGTACGTAATACTTATTGAATTTTGTGATCCAGTCCCGAATATATCTTTCGGATATCTTATAGACATCTATTGCAGTTATGCTAAAAGCAGACTGTCTTTCAGACGTGTCCATAAGACACTAGGACATAACCAAAACTTTTGAAAACATACATCCGATAGACATCCATGTGCTGTAATGATTAACTTAACATAAACAGTGGAAAAACAGTTATCATATATCTAATCAGAATACAAACATGCTTATGTAGGATAATTGCAAAGATATAAGAAAACTGTATTCAAAATTCACATCTTTTCAACCTATATTTGCAATAATAAAAGTTTGTATTAGTTATTTATAATTAAATTTTTTTGCGTATGTGCTTCAGTTTATAATCTACGATCATAAAACTGTAATCTATTTTTTTATGTTACCGATAATATAAAATACGATGATAGAAGACTTCAATGCGCGTATAGGGTGTTCGAAAAAAAAACACAAATGCAGAGTATTTATATGATAGATAGTACACAACGTACTAAGAAAGCTTTAGTAAATATAGATTGAATACTGAACTGTTGTTGAGAACAATTTCTTAGGTATAAACAATTTTATATATCAGTGAGTCATGACTCACTTGGTATCTACATATCACATGCAACGTGAAAAGAGAAAAATTGAAATTAAGTAAAACCTCTAATAGGCTCTTTGACTTACATTATAGGTCCAAAAAGGGATGATCTTCCATAATGTCCATCCAATCAGAATCGTTGGGTCAATTTACTAATGCCCTGTAAAATCTTTTAACATGAAATCTTTTATTATGATTTGTACGTAAAAATTAAATGAGAATATTTAGAAGATGATTTGTAAATACTTTTTAAGAGAAAAATTTTCATATTGCATGCGACTTGTAGGAGATAAGTCATTATGATACAGTCATATACACTACTCAATAAAATCTAGGGATGACAGTTGTAATAAAGGACTAATAAGAGTCAAATAAATAATTTGTCAAAATTTCAAATAAAGTGATGAGCTACATTTTAATTATAAATTTTACTTTAGTAAGTCGACAAATTGACATTACATTACATAACGCGCGCATATCAGAACCACGATTAAAATTTGGGGAACACTTTCGAACACGCTAAAAATTGAGCAATATTCAGGACACCGTAACTCGATGAAAAATTCATTGATGAAAAAATGAAAAAATAGCTTCAAGTAATGAATAAAATAAGATGTCATGCACTTTATCATTGGTTTAATCTTTTATATTCAATATTTGTTTAATTTTTCATACTTAATTTAATTTTTTATACTCATCAATTCTCATCATAGAATAATATTAAAACATCATCATATTATAGCAAATTGTCTCTGTTAACGTTATATAATTGATATTTATATAAATGATTCATAATCTTGTTACTTTTAACCTCAGTATTTTATTTGTCGAAGAATCACTATATATATACGATGTAACTGCAGCTATTTTGATTAATTGCGCTTATTGCAGTAAATATATCATTTACACAGAATGAAAAGTTTTCTGCTTTACGCCTGTTTTCTAATAATCGCTGTAAGTATTCTGTTAATAAGTTACTTCTAATAAACTATTTTAATAAGGTACAAAGAAGTTATTTATAATATGTATGTATGTATTAAAAATTATACAAAATAGATAAAACAAATATTTTATAAGTTTCAGCCGTCTAACTTAATAGAAGTAAAAAAATTCAAACATGTAATAGAAACTTTGCATGATGACATTGAAGCTTGCATGATTGAAAATAATGTGACTGAGAGTAAGTTATAACTATATATATTATTGCAGAAGCATATTATTAAGGATCCTCTTGTGATTGTCTTTTAAATTCTTTAATCAATTTTAGTTTAATTTGGTTTTACCAGATTTGAATATTTTCCTTACAATTTTAAAGTAATTTAATTTAAGCTAACTTTAAAAAAACTGACATTTGCATTAATTGATTTTATTTCTTAGCTGATAACTACAATCTGGAAGACTTTGCCAATGATGTACACACCCAACCAGAAAATGAAGAAAGAACAAGAAGACTTGGATGCTGGGTTGCGTGTGTCTTAAAAAGACAGAATTTAGTAAGTATATGTTCAAATATGTTATACATGCTTTATATGTAATATACAACAATATAGGATTGATGTCATAATAAATAATAAAATTTTATATATAAATTGTTCGAAACTTAATTTCTAATGCAATAATTATGAATGCAATTAATAAATATACATTATTATTTATACATATGTATTATAATTAGTAATAAAATGATCAACAAAATTTGATATCTTTACATAGTGTTAATAAAATTATTATGCTATAATAGTTAATTTACAATAAAATATAAATATGTTTTAAATTATGTAACGCTTGAATTGCCTAAGATAACTAAAAAAATATATATACAATTTTATTTTTTTTTTAAATGTTAGATGGAAGATTCAAACATTAAGGAACCACAAATTCATGTAAGAATAAATTTAGAGTATGGTGATATTCCTGATGAAGCCATTATTCACGAAATTGCGCGTAAATGCATGAAACAAGGTAAGATATATCTTAAATTTTTATATATATGTGTATACTATTAGATTGTTCAATTCTGCTAACAAAAATGTTCATATGCACGCTTCTTTGTTTCAAATTATTTACGAGATTCAATATGCATTTGCAAAATTACTGTCAAGATAGAGATATTACATACTTTTTCTGATAAATCGTCGTTCAAATAACATATTTTTTAAAGTTTATAATAAATTTAAAAAAATTATACAGCTCTCAAACTATCTTGAAGACAATTCAGAATTGGAAACATGTTTATATGAACATTTTTATTTAAAATGATCCATACGATTTCTAGAATGTAGACCTCCTTATTTCCTTATACGTATTGTATAAATTACTCTAAAGTTAACAAAAAATAAGAAATTACAAAAAATATTATTATGTAAGTTTTAGGTATTTGCACTTGTAGTATAATGTTTTTAAAATGGTATAGAGAGTTGTTATAAAAATGAAGTATTTATAAGAAATATGATTATATATATTTCTTCTTTTAACTATATCATTTTGAATTTTTATTTATATAGTGAGAAATGTTACGCAAGAATGTAAGAAAAGCATATCCCTAATTGCATGTGGTGCAAAAGCTGTATATGAGGAACAAAGACATAGACAACTTGAAATAGAAGAAGCAGAAGGAAAAGCAGAAGTAGAACAAACCGTATAAATACAATCAAATGCAAAAATTATCCGTATAATTACTAATATATACAAAACTATAATTTATAATCAGTAATAAGATATGTACGAGTAGTAAGATAGATTTGTATTAATTTGTATTAATTAATAATATATATTTACGTATATCCAATAATACTCTAATCTTATTTTTTTGTAGTTAGTGAAAATCAAAATGTCATTTTCACCAAGGCTGACAAAAGTAACATAATATACAGCTTTAAATAAAGAATACTAACAGAAAATGTTAACACTATGCTACAAGATTCTTCTACATATATAAAATTAGAGAAAAATCTCAATCTATAATAGTCGAAACATATAATATTTTTAATTACGTCATTATATATTTGTTTAGTTTTTCTTTATATCTCATTTTTTGTACATTTAAGTAATTTATTTTACTCTTTTTGCCATTTATTATCTTTGTTGGTTTTAAAATAATAAATTAAATTGTTATATAGAATGTTGATAAGGAAAGGAAAAAATATTCATTAAACCAATGTTAATACAAAGGTGATATAAACTTTCAAAAAATAATACAAAAATTAAGAAAAATTAATTATTTAAATAAAATTTGTCTATGTAATATTTTTAGCATTATGTATATTTTATAAAATACTCGTAACCTAAGTTTAATAATGTATCATTTCATTCTCTCTCTCTCTCTCTCTCACACACACACACACACACACACACACACCCGCTTGACTTTTAAATGATTCCTGACCTTACAATTTTTGTTTACGTACATATTTATTGCTGATAGAAATAATTTTACGTTATCTGGTTATGGAAAATTTTCTTACAAAAATAATAATTATATAGTGTGTTTGGTAAGGATCCGAACAACGTTTAAAAGGGAAGTTCCTAAAATCATTTTGAGACGAAAATTCTAATTTCAAAATATTAGGATTATAACAAGTTTTGAATCATTGTTTAAAATTAACGAATTATATCGTCAACAGTGATACAAGGCAAAGTACTAAACTGACATATTACTTGTTTTGTTAATATCGATTTTAAGATCCGCCAGTGTTCAAAGGGGAATAAAACTCTATTCCGTTGAATAGAAAGTTCTAGAATAGTATCGAAAGATTATGATCAGCGCCAATTGGCAGTTGGTTGGCACGCGTTGCTATTTGAATCGGTCTCAAACACTATATCATTTTATTTCGTATATCTTGGACAATTTTCGCCTTTTTCAAAAAAACATTTTTATGAGAAATTTTTTAAATTATAGGTTTTCCAAGAAACCGAAAAAAATAAAGTTTTTTTTTAATCCTCTAAGGTAAAAACGACATACAAATAATAAATTTTTTGTTAAAAAAAATCCGATTAATAAATCTTTTTAATTTTAAAATATTGTTACGCTCGCGCGACCGCTCCACGGAACTCGCTCTCGTCGCGAACTCGCACTCCCGTTCCGCCGGAATAAACAACGGAATAAACAAGAAAAAAGTAAATGAAACAAGATGTTTATTGAGAGAACACAGGACACAAGGCAGAACACAAGAAACACAGAATTATATGATCGTAAAAAGACGCGACCGAGAATGTTACGGCATGTTCTCATCGGTATTCGTTTGGTTTAAATTCTCACGATCCAATAAGATTTGATATTGTTTGTATTGTTTATTGTTATTATTGTTACTATTTTTAAAATTTTATTTTATTTTTATTTTTGTATCCTTATCAATTTACATCACAGGGTATACATAGTATTAGAAAATTACCATAAGGTCAATTATCTTATTCATATTACATAATTAATATTTGTATGATCTCTGATCTTGCTTTTTTAACCTATGTGTTTTTAATTTTAGAGTAAGAATATATATACATATATACGATGTAATTGCGGTTACTTCGAATAGTTGTGTTTGTTACAGTGAAGATACTATCTGCACAAAATGAAAAGTCTCGTGCTTTGCGCCTGCGTTTTCATACTTGCTGTAAATAATTCCTTAACTAATTTCTTTAACGAATTCTTTTAAATAATTTTTATAGGTCACCCATACTTCTGTTCAATATATCATTAACTTAACTTAAAATAATGAAATTAAATAGTTTGACTAAGAAAATGTATTGAATTTTACTGAAATTTAGTTTATTATTTTTACTAAGTATGTATGTAAGTGTTGTAAGAATGGAAAGTATAGGGAGCATTTGTCTCTCCTTAGGAACAACTTTAATTCAATTTTACTTCTTCGACTTACTAATACCTTGTCGCAGCGGAAGCTTTTAATACAAAAAATGTATACATTTGTAATTATATACACATAATATTCTAATTCTAATAACAGTAAACTTTTATGTGTCTATACAATTTGTAATTATAGATTGTGTGTAGGTATACATATACATATATATATATATATATATTGTATACACACACATATGTTAAAACAAATGTGTAAAAAAAGTTGTGTATTAAGTACATTAATATTATTATTATTATTATTATTATATTTTGCCTTCATTTTGAATGCATACATAAACGTTATTTATATTTTAATAGCCATAGAAATAAATTGATTTTAACACACATGGAAGTTTAAAATAACAAAATGTTATAACTATAACTCAAGAAAAATTGAAATGTACTATAGGGATTATTGATTCTTTGATATTTAACGGTATATATAAAAATATGTAAAATAAATTAAACAAACTGTTTATATAAGTTTCAGTTGTCTGACTCATCAGAATTAAGAAAACAAGTTAAAGATACAATATCAAATGCATTTGAGAGTAATATTCGAGAATGCATGACTGAAAACAATGCGACTTATGGTATGTTATAATTATGTAGATTATTAAATTATTGTAGATTTATCGTGTTTCTCATTTAAATTATCTTAGTCATTTTTTAATTAAATTTAATTGGGTATTTTCCTCATTTTGTGTGTGTGCGTGTGTGTAATGTTATATATGTAAGTTAACATTTTTCTCAAAAAAGTATAATAGATTTCTCTGATCAATTTGATTTCTTAGGTGACTGGTACAATTTGGAAGATATGACGGCTAAACTGTATACCAACCCCGAAAATGAAGAAAGAACAAGAAGAGTTGGTTGTTGGATTGCGTGTATCACGAAAAAGTTAAATTTGGTAAGTGTTTAGAAACATGCAATGGTGTGTATGTATCGTATATATATAATGTCCAACAATGCAACATTAATATGTAATAAATAAGAAGTTTTAATTTATCAATTAAAAGTTAAAGGATCAATTTCTCTCCACACAATTAGTATATAATATAAAAATTTATATCATATGTGCTATTCATAAAAGGAGGATATTAAAAAGAAGCCAATTTTTGTTCACAAAAGTGTTAAGTTAAATTAAAGGTGTTAATAATGCTAAAATTGCTCAAAAAAATTAAAATAAGTATATATTTTATTATTTCTTATTACATTAAATATTAGATGGAAGACGGAAATGTTAAAGAAGCGGAAGTTCATGAAAAACTAGATTTAATATTTCATACTGTTGATGATGAAAAAGGCGCAGTACATAGAATTATACGTAAATGTTTGAAAGAAGGTAAGTCATATATATAAATTATACTATTATCACAAAAAATAAAGAATTACACAAAATATATTTTGTTACGTGAAAATTCAAATATCGATTAGAGTAAGCCATTTACGGTTAAGCTGGATATTGAATGCTTCTGTTATAATTTTTGTGTGAATTTATGTACTACATATGTATAATAGAAGCATTCAATATTCAGCTTAACCGTAAATGGCTTATTCTTATCGGCATTTGTATTTTGTATGTTTACGTCAGGACCGTGTAGAGGGGGGGTTTTACAGCATGCATCTCATCAGAGCCCTCGAAGTTTTAATCCCCAATGCTCAAGAGCTCCGAAATTTTTAACTCCAGATATAATGCGAAGGAATAGCGATAGTGATACAAATAACGATTTCAGATACCGCTGAATCGGAATCATATTGCGTGTGTGTGTAAGTGCGTGAGTGTGAATGCGTTCTTGCGTGTATTTAGTAGTGTGTATAACTTCCTCGTGCGCGTATTACCTCATTCATACGATCTGACATACTCCTTACCAGTCTTTAATTTCATCCTGCGTAATTATACCGAATATCAGAATCTTGGCAGAAAATTAAGGAATCACGTACCTGCTCCTCAGTCATTGCGAGAACTCTTGAAGACAAATGGAATACAATTACGCAGGTTGAAATTAAAAGACTGATAATGAGTATGCTAGATCGTATGAATGAGGTAATACGCGCACGAGAAAGTTATACACGCTACTAATTTACAAGCAAGAACGCATTAGACAAAATGAAAAATAAACTAAATTATTAACGCATAGCACCAAAGTATTAATTATTCTTTTTTTTCTTTTATATTTTCTAAACCCTTCAAAGATATTTTAATACAAACTTCGTGGAAAGGTAGGGCCCCAAAAATCCTTTGCACGGTTCATGTATATAATACATAATTTATAATGTAATACTAACTTTAGAACAATATATTTAGTAAATTAACTAATAATTATAAGTAATATATTTAGTGTGAAAGTACAAAATAGCCATAAAGAATATTGATATATTACTAATCGTAACACGTGGTAATTATGTTTTTAATTTTTTATGTGATTTTGCAGTGAGAGTTATTACGCAAGAATGTGAAAAATGTTTTTCCTTCTTAATATGCTTTAATAAAGAAGTACATGATTATATGAAGCAGCAAGAAGAAAATAAAAGAGAAGAAGATAAAGGAGAAGCAGAAATAGCACAAGCTGAATAAGTACAATTAAATATCAAAATTGAAATATTATTTGTAATAATGCAAGGCTAGGTGTAATATAAATATAACACAATATAATTTTATTGAATAAAAGCTGTATACATATATTAATGTATTCTTTTATTAACTGTCCTTAATTTTCTATGTAATAAAATACGAAAAAGTATTTGTTTTACGAGTAGTTTTTTGTAATTATAGAGAATATATAAAAATTCCGCGAACCCGCGCCCGTTGCGTATTCGGTCCTGATTGGCGGCTGACTACGATGGCCAGTTTCAGCGTTATGTAATTTTATATAATATTATATAATTACACATAATGACATATAAAACATGTGCTCCCGTGTACGTATACACTTCTTTTCTATAATCCAAATTTGTAGAAGTTAATATCAGTGTGCTATTCTTATTTAATATATTGACTAACTTTTAACAATTAATTAAAAAGAAGAAAGCAAATGAACTTAAAACAAATTCTAATAAATGCATGATTCATAAAAGATAAATAATTTATATTCTTAGTTGGTGGATAATTTTTAATAAATTACATTGCTATTATATTATAAGAATAATTTTATGTAACCTTAATTTACAAAAAACATATTGTACGCGTTAACTTCTATACATATACTATATTATAAAGCACATACATACATAAAACACTTTATTGAAGTTATTAACATTAACTAAAGTCGACACGTCGTTAAAGGTGTCTTAAATAAAAAGCTGTCTATTTCTGTCACTCTGACCGGACTGAAATCGAAATCGATAACCAGACCGAAATTGTGCAGGTTAATGTACCGAAACGGTAACCGGATCAAAAATGTTTTTGATTTGATTTTAGTTCGGTTTTCGGTTTAAATTTTTTAACTTCTTCGGTATGTACGATCGTCAATAGCCATCAAACGTACATAGCCCTACGAGCGTTATAGCTACAGTGAAAAACAAGAACAATATATTATGCATGCAGAGAGTCTGTAATCAGATAATCGCCAACTCACTATATCAATGCAGCAATGCGTGCATACATATATTAGTATATGTGTATACATAATATATTATATAAACAGCGAAAGAATGCAATTCAAATACAACACGTACCTTTCTAATTTTTAAAATGTCATAATTATTTAGTTGAAAATTCCAAATAGAAATATATAATGTTTCTTTGTGTGTGGCAATTAATCTATTCAAAAATTTCTGCTTTACGTAAGCTTATCCCAAGGTTATTCTTCATTTGCAACTAATCAGCGAAAAACAGGAGATATTCTAGAACATATGTAAAGATAAACGTCTGATTAAGTAACGTAAATATACATTAAAAGAATAATTATAAAGCAATAAGAATATAAACATTTTTATGAGATAATTTCAAATGTATGAAACAACTGCATGTGTAAGCCACATCTTAGCAATTTATGTTTATAATAACGCAAAAAAATTTGTGTTAGTGATAAATGTCATTACATTTATACTTCGTGTTTATATGACCTGTGATTCCGCAACTTCAATCAGCATTTTTATTATAGATGATATAAATACGATGTTAGTGAGCTTCAAACGTTGTAATACGACATTTAGAAATAGTGTAGACTGACTACATCAGTAATATGGAGAAACTACTACTTTTTATTTGCACTTTTGTGTTCATTGTAAGTATCTTTTTGTAATAAAAATTAAATATTAATAAAAGATTAAAAATTTTTCTACAAAAATATAACAGTTCTCTTACAACTTAATTTTAAATAAATGATAACTGCAGTATTATTGTTAATATATAGTTATATAATTAACACGTTGTAGTAAACTAAGACATAACTGTAATAAAACAAAGAGAACACATAAAGAAAAACAATTATAACGTATATTTCATAATTATAAAGACTCTAAAAGAAAAGAATATTCCAACAGGGCTAACTCTTAACGCAAATTTATTGTAATAATACAATTATTGTATTATGATAAAAAAGCTGCGCAATGACGTTATAACGGTAGCAAAATTTCCATTAAGAATTACAGACTAAGGCTACAGAAAGCTAAAAACATATTTCTTTGTTATGTTATATAATCATACATATTTATATTTAAAAATGTAATATAACACACAAAATACACTCGAGTAACTCCAAATACACAACATGAATATAACTGTAACCTTTCAGTCATTTTATGAACGTTATACGAATGATAAAATACATACTACAAATACATTAAATTTTTCTAATTTCCAATCGTCAGTAATGCAATCGAGGAAACGTTAGCATTTTTTCTTTCCTTGTTTTACGTTTATACAATATAAATAGAGTCACATATCATAAATATGATTTTAATAATGTCTTCTCGAACACAATCCTGCAGATTGCTCACGAACAGTTCGAAATTGAATGTTATATACATGATGCATTCTTTTCATGCATTTTTCACTATTCATAGAGTAAATTTTTATCATTATTGTACTTATTTTGTATAAATTTTATATATACATTGTAAAATTATATAATAAAAACGTTTTCAATAATATTGACATATTTTTAATATAGAAATAATATGTTTGAAGTTGCTAATATAGAGCCCTAACAGTATGTGGTATTTATCGTTACAAGTAATAATACATATAGAATTCTTGATATTCATGTAATATTGTATCTTCATTTAAGTTACATGTGTGGTTTGATATATACATATACGTGCTAATGATATATATACATTTGTGTATTGCATATATAGAAATAGCTTAATTAAAATAATGTGAGGAAAAAAATTAATTAAAATAAAATTTCATATATTTTAGTCTTTTGCCGTTGACTCGAAGAAGATAGGATCCGTCAGTGAAAATTACAATACATGTCTAACTGATACTAACGTATCTGAGGGTAAGTCTACGCGCGCGCATATACATCATACACGTACCATACATATATAAAACGAAACATAAATCGGACCGTGCATCTTTCTGTTTTTATTAAGTAACATTAATGCCAGCGGTATTTTATCAAATATTTCAGTATTTGAAAAAAAAATAAATTTTTTATTCTTTTTATACTTAATAAAGATGAATGTGGTATCATGGCACTGGAAATCATTTTTTTAAATATTAACTTTATAAAATGCCTCTTGATTCTAAAAATTATAAAACCAATAGAAGAAATTGCCTTTAACGGTCGAGCTGGATCTTACAATTAGATGATATTTATAATTCCGTGTGAATTTATATATTACGTATGTAAAACAATTTTTCGATATTGAAACGCCACTCTACAAAACTACTGCAATAATATCAAGAGTTAAATTGTGTTAGTAATTGTTCGGCGCGCGATTTAAAAGACTACATACGTAATATATATAAATTCACATGAAATTATAATAGTATCTAAGATTCAACTCGACCGTTAAAGGCAATTTTTTATTGGTTTCTCACACGTACGGTCCTATAAGATTTAATATTTAAATAATAAAAATTATAAAATTTTGTTATATAATAATTGTTTAAAATAAAGATTATTTCAAATAATTAATCTTTAATTGTTTAAAGTAATTAAAGATTATTTGAAATAAAAATTAAGGGAAGAATTTGTTTTTATTGATAATTTTCGTATTTTAGAGAATTATTTCATATAAATATTATATAGCCATTTTAAATATTTTCTAAAAACTATATTAGAACTTTAATACATAATTGCAATGTATTATAATTACTATATTATAATTCATTGAAAAGATCGAATAAAAGATAATGAAAATACCTACTTATAGAAGAAAACTATTTTATCACAAATATATGAAAAAAAATTCATATATTTGTAATCTTTTTTAGAATATCGAAATTTGTAGTAATTCTTTATATGGATACAAAATTTACATTTTCTTTTAAATTAAATTTCTAGATGACATGTTAACAGTACAAGACATAACAAAGGACCAATACAAATCCGAAAGTCAAGAAAGATTAAACAAGAATGGTTGTGTCATGCAATGTTTGTTACAAAAAGAAGGACTGGTAAGAGTATTTTTATTTTCTTAAAAATAATGTCTTAATTTTGAAAAAATTGTTCAAATATTAAAAAATATTGTAAACATTTTAAATGTAATTTTTCTCGTAACATCTTTTATCTAAAGCTTCCCATTTGTTTTTAAGTTGATTTTTTAATTACAAATTTTATTCTTAATTTAATGATTTTATAATATATATTATCACATTATACATATAGTATAATTTAAAAAATAGTATGTGGTTTAATGCATTTTAAAAAATAATTTAATGTTATATCTAAATTATTAATATTTTATATATACTTTTCTTGTAAACATTAGATGGAAGATGCAGAATATAAGACAGAAAATATGCATAATGAATTTATCAAAAAGACAAATGTTGAACCAGGAAATAAAAGATTGGAAAGTCTGGACAAATGCATAAATGAATGTAAGTTTTATACACAACCATACATACTATAAGATATAATCCAGGTAACCCAGATTTTAATAAATATATAATTATGTATAGTAAAATTGTTTACAATAATTACTATTAAATAAGTTTTAATGCATTTAATTATTCTAGCTATTTTAACAATAAAAGAAAGTATAATATACGCGTACTTTACTTTTCATTATTTAATAATTTTTTTCTATTTTAGCAAAAGACCTTACAGAAAAATGCGAAAAAGCTTTCCTTCTTTCTGCATGTTTCATAAAAGCTGAACACAAACATAAGCATGAAAATGAGAATGAATCTATAATATAGTGACAATAATTAAAAATAGCTGAAACAAAATTAATATGTTAAAATCTACAATTTATAAGCATTTTTAATAAAGAAATATAAGTGCAAATATATACATATATCCGATTTTCTTTTATTTTGTTATATCAATATAAAAAAAGTAAATTTCAAATAATGTAGATATTATGGCTCAATAAATTAAAAATTAGATACGATATAAAAGCTACGAGCCAAAAAAATATACATTTAAATCAATAACAAAGAATATAATAAATATATAACGCAAACAAAATGATAAACAAATTGATGAAGAAAATGACGTTCAATCTCGCTTGGGTCATTTCAATGTTAAAATAAAAATTTAAATCACAATACGCAAACCTTATAAAATAATAACGTTACTTGTTGCTCCAATTCTGACTGCATCATGTGAGATGTTAGTGATGTTGCTGATTATTGATATTGTAAGTTTCGCTATCAACAATCGAACGTTGAAATTCAACAGGATGCTTACTTTGACAGTGTAGAGATACAATCAAAGACTTCGTACAATGTAACACAGCAACATTAATAAAGTTATATCCAATAATTTCGTCAGTGTTACATTCAAGACAATGCGTTCGAATATGAGAGAAGATATGTTGTCAAGTCAATATATTTAAAAACGTTATGATTAACGTTTTTAAAGTAAATTTTAGTTTAAGTATGTTATAACAATAAAATATCAAAAATAATAGTAAGAAGCAAGGACATATAAGAGTCGGTTAGAAATTATTTAAAAATATATAAGTCAAGACATAAAATATTATTTTAACAAAAAATGTAAAGAAATGAGTATAGAACATTACATGTTTTGGTCCATGGTTTGGACCATCTTCGGATGATAAAAGTTACAATGAGTCAATTTCAGAATAATAGAAAATCAATCCTTTCTCTGAATGATACAAGAGTTACTTGCAAACGATTGTCAGAACGTTTGTTTGTAACGGTAGTCAAATCAATCAAAGAAAAGTAATCTTCTTCCGTTTAACAATTTTGTCGTAAAACAAATAATTCGATTCCTCGAACATTTAGATTATAACGTAAACATATGTGAAAAGTATGAAATTATTCTGACGGTTAACATCATTATAATATTTTTACTTAAATTTCTAATTTATATATTTCTACACACATCTTAAATAATTTAATACTTTTCACATATGTCTATATACAAATATACGTTTGTATCATTTTAACTTATTGCACCGTGTGCACTAATTCAGACAGTGCAGGAACAAAAACATACCTATATTTTAGTAAATAATTGAGGCGTAATTTATTAATTTCAATTTGTTTATAGTTATGGTTCTGTTTATATAAAGCAAAATCATTTATTGACTAGAATTTGTAATATATATTCAGTAATGATACATATATATAGACTTATATAAATTAGATTTTATGCATGTATGCATTTATTATGTATTTATAATTTCTCGTTTATATGTGTTTGTGTATACATGTATGTGTTTCTGTGCAATGAAATAATTGATATATGGTGCATTAATTGTTTAAAATTATATCATTCAATCAATGAGAAATTGCCTTTAACGGTCGAGTTGGATCTTAGATGCTATTATAATTTCGTGTGAATTTACATATTACGATATGTAGTCTTTCTAAATCGCGCGCCGAACAATTGCTAACACAATTTAACTCGTGATATTATTGCGGTAATTTCGTAGAGTGTCGTTTCAAGATCGAAAAATTGTTTTACATACGTAATATATAAATTCACACTGAATTACAATAGCACCTAAGATCCAGCTCGACCGTTAAAGGCAATTTCTCATTGGTCGTGTTTCTCACAAGTATGGTCTTATAAGATTTAGTATTTAAATATTGTTTATATCATTCATTTACTATAACAACATATCGCAGTTTACCATTTTATAATTGCTTATAGAAAAAGTTTAGAGACATAAACAAAAAAAAAGAAGAAACATATTTTTATTCCTTTTATCAATTATATTACAATAAAATTAACATTTCAAAATGAACACATACATTACCAAATATTAATTGTTTAAATCTCTACCGGAAAAACGTTGTTACAACAAATGAATGATATATGTTAATAATAAATTAAAATTAGATATTGTATCGGCTTTCTAAATATTTCCTAGCAAAATCTATTACGTACATACAATATCTATACAGTCTTCAACAATTGATAAAGTTATATAATATATGAAATTTATGCAGCAGTATCTATCATCTCAATTAACTATAAATATTTAATTCTATATAATACTAGTACGTTTCTTATGTATATATATAAGTTTTTTTTAAATTTAAATTGTTAATTTCTTACCTAATTTTTTTAAAATATAGAGTTAGAGATTTTCTAAAATCTATTTATAAATTTCTACATTTAAATTTATAAATTCGCATGACTAAATATATATTATGTTTCGCTATTACCTTACGCCGTTTATAAATAGTTTTAAATAAATTATTATATTATATATCACATATATTAACAATATATGTATTAGAATGAAACATTCAATGCATGTAGCAAGTTTTCCTTAAAGACATAAAGTACAAGATATATAAGACGTATATATTTTTGTATTCACTTTATTTGCATAAAGAGATAAGAAAAGACAGTACACATATATCAACAGAAGCAAAAATATTTTTAATTGTTATTTATCATATACAGATATCACGAATAAATGCGTACAGGAGTCATGAATGATAACAATGAAACTTTGATATTGATCACAGATTATATGTCAGTCGTATATTTTTTCTACTAGATTAATTATTAACTATAAGACTACTCTCTCTCTCTCTCTCTCTCTCTTATAAATTTACTATTTTTATTTCCAAATTATTATATGCTTATTAGCAGAGTTGGGTAGTGCTAAAAGTTAAAAAGTTAAAAATTAATTAGTTTCAACTTCATTACATTTTAGAATCTTAATTTTTAATTTAGTTACATTTCATCAATAATTGTTAACTTTTAATTTGACTTTTGAAATTAATCTTTATACATAATACAAGGGAATAATGACTAATTTATTAATGTTATATCTTTCATATTACGTAATCGTTAATTGCAAACAAAAATTTTCTAATTAATTTTATGATTATTTTAATTTTTAATTCAATTAATTTTATTATGAAGTATCTTGCATCTTAACTAATTGTAAGTTAAAATTTTCATAGCTGTAAACTTTAACTTAATTTAATTAAATGTTATTTTGTTTTTTTTTTGCTGAAGATAACTAAAAACAATAGCCGAAACGTTCAAATATTCTTGTAATTATAATTCTATGTTAAACAATTATAGATACATAGATATATTCTGCGCTCTTCTTACCGCGCACTCCATACTAGCCGATTTGAAAATTTCCTTTCTTATAACTTAATCAAAGAAAAGTTGACTTACCCAACCCTGCTTATTAGAAGAATTTGCTACATGCTTCAAGTTTATTTCTTCACAAGTTTACTTACATATTTTTATATACAGGGTGTTCTAGAGTAAACGCAGGAGCAGGCACGTATATATTCCTCATAAAAAAATGAATCGAAAATGTTAATAGCAAAATCTTGAGGCATCAATAGTCTTCAAACGGTAAGCATTTGAAAATAACCAACTACAGGGCATGAAATTCGCGTCGTCAGGAGGCATTTGGACGATGATTTTGCTATTAACATTTTCGATTCATTTTTTCATGAGAAGTATGTACGTGTCGTCTCCTGCAGTTACTCTGGAACACCCTGTATATATGTATGTGTGTATATATATATATGTATATAAATCTTGCACATAACGTTAAAATACTTTTAATACTGTCTTAATGAATTGCATTATTTAAAAAAACGCATATACATTATAGTAATATATTTATCGTTTGATGAAATTTACTAAAAATTACAAAAGCTTACAAAAATCTTAAAATTCAATTTAATTTAGCTTAATATTTCCAAACTAATAGCATTTAATGGAATAACAATATTCAATTATTTTGTACATTGCACATATAGATATAGAGAATGACTATTTAAGTAAATAGCGAAAGTAGCTACGCGTATCTGAAAGTATTGTGCGTGTATGCATAGTGAAATATTTATAAAATTGCATAAGAACTCTATCGATTGGTTACAAGTTCGTACTAAGAACATATGTCTAGCTCTCGTACACGTCATTCATCATTAATAGACCACAATTACGAATAAACTTGATTCAATCACAGTCATTCTAATACCGGACAGCACCTAATTAAATAAGTTTGAAACTCTGTAGGGAACTTCATGTCCTCGACGTATCTTTCTTCCAGTTAACTGAAGCGGGTAATTTCCGATTTGTGCCATCCAAGTTTAATCTACTCTTCGAACATTTCCTACATGTTAGTCGCCAGAAGGCAAGTCTGAAGTCTGCCGAATAGAAAGCGTAAATGAACGGATTGATGGCTGAATTAATCCATCCTAAACACATCAAATTATTTTTAATTTAACTTCGTAAAAGTATTTTATAATAATACATTATGTAATTATAATTCTAAAAATACTAAAATAAAATAAATTCAAAGCTACAAATGTTAGAAATAAGATAAATAAATTCATCAAAGTTTAATTAGTTTGTTTACTTTTATTCTTTGTTACAACAAATTGTTGTGCGTTCAATTTAACTTTAACTTACATAAAATAATCTTAATTTAAAATGTAATAGTTATTTATAAAATTATTGAAACAAACGTAATCCGGATATTCGTTACAGTTGACCTAAATTCGTCAATCCATAAATATTAAAAGAAATATTTGGAAACATCAAATATTTGAGAACATTGTATGAAAAAGTGACTACCTAGCCATGTCAAGGCTGGCATGAGAACATCCGGCGGTTGCACGGGCACGAAGGGTGTTACCAGATACAGAATGAAAAATGGCAGCCAGCATGCGATGAAACCACCTACAACCACCGCCAGGGTGCCCGCAGTTTTCGTCTCCCTGGCGACCCTGTTAATGCAGCTTTGTTGATTACC